CCAAGAAAGTCTCTGAGCTAATTCCCTCACCTCCTCCAGTCTTTGCTAAAACGTCACCTTCTCAGCGAGGCCCACCCTGCCACCCTGTCGACAAGCACAGGGCACCTCCACCAGCACCCTAGCTCTGCTCCACTTGTTCTTTTTGTCTAGTGCTTCATCACCCTCGGACATGCTTTACTTCTTTAATATGTTCAATTATTTTATGGCCTGTCTCCCCCATTGGAATGGAAGCTTTTTAAGGATGGAAACACGGCTTGCACCTTAGCACCTGGAACAGTGCCTGGCAAATAATAGGCCCTTAATAAACATTGTTGAATTATTAAATATCGAAGGGGTCCTGTCCCAAAGACGGGAGGGGATCAAGACCCTAAAGAAAGATCATCACCTTTCTTTTGACAAGGGCACTAGCCAATTCATTAGGCCATCTTGGGGCCTATAGGAGGGGTCCTCTCATGTCCAGCAATACATGAATAACATTTTGGGGTGCACCCGGCTGCAAAGTGGCTGTTGTGCTCTGCGTGGCTGCTCCAAGCTGTTCTGCTCACCGCAGCTGCTGGACGGAGGACTCACTGGGCTTCCACTCACCTTCTGGCATCGCTGCGTTTCTGATCTCCCTCAGAAGTCGCAGCTTGGAAAATTGTGACTGTCCCAGCGATAACAGCAGGATCATCGTTCACAGATACGGAAATGCTAAGGGGTGGAAACACTCAGATGCGACAATGCTTCAGACACTAAGTGGGATTTTCACAGCTTCCTTAGAGAGTGCTTACTAACATGCACACAGTCAGAAGTTGTGTGACCAAGTCGACATCCACATCCTGCCTACCTTATAGAGAAGGTATCTTGGACAAATCCTGGAAAATAAATGTCTTTAAATCATCTCTTCCTAGATTTCTCCCCAAACAATTCACAAGTAACTGTTTACTACTTGCCTATGCAGTACATCAATAATGTATAACTATTAAAAATGCAGCCCTGACTGGTTTCGCTCAGTGGTTAGAGTGTTGGCCTGCAGACCAATGAGACCCAGGTTCAATTCCGGCCAAGGGCACATGCCTCGATTGTGGTTTGTCCCCAGCACTGGTCGGGGTCACACAGGAGGCAACCAGTCACTGCATCTCTCTTGCTTCAATGTTTTTTTTCTCTCTCTCTCTTTCTCTCCCTCCCTCCTAATCTGTCTAAGGATAAATGGAAAAATGTCCTCGGGTGAGGATAAAAAAAATGCATATAAGATAGGGAAAATACATATAATTTTTAAAAATCACCAGTAATGTCACTGCTCAGAGATAATACTGTTGGTATTTTCCCATATCCCATTTATTAATTAAACAACATTGACTGAGCATCTAATATTTAAAAGGCTTCACACTCTTGCTAGAGCTATAATGCTGAGCAAAAATAAACACAAATCTCGCCTCATGGAGTTTACAGTCTATTGAAGGAGACACACCTTCATCAAGTAATGATACGGACACATGTGAAGCTACAGCTATGATAAATGCTATAAAGGAGAGGTATGTGAATAGCAGGGAGATCTGACCTAGTTGTGAAGGTCTGTTTTCTAAAGGTTATGAGGAAGTGATTACTGAGCTGAAAATTAACTCATAGGAATTGACTCAGTGAAGTCACAGGGAAGAGTGTGCACAACAGAAATCCTAAGGCCCTGTTGGGGGAGGAAGCATAGTGGGTAGAAAGGAGTCAGAGGTCCAGTGAGGCTGCAGAGGGCACTACATACAGCTGCCAAGTCAGGGAGAGGGCAGACTTTGCAGAGCTTGGTATGCTTAATTCAGAATTATATTCGCTATTCATTCAAAAAATGTTGCCTATGAGGAGCCAGGGACATATTTATTTTACATAAATTGGATTTACACCACATACTGCTTTTATTTATTTATTTATTTTAAAATACGTTTTTATTGATTTTTTATTTTTATTTATTTTTGGTATGTGCCCGGAACCGAATCCAGGACTCTCTGGTCTGAGGGCTGACGCTCCAATCACTGAGCCAAATCGGCCAGGGCTTATTGACTTTTTAGAGAGAGAGGAAGGGAGAGGGAGAGATAGAAACATCCATGAGAGAAACATCCACTGGCTGCCTCCTGCACGCCCCCTACTGGGAATAGAGCCCACATCCCCAGCATGTGTTCAGACTGGGAATTGAATCTGTGACCTCTTGGTTCATGGGACAATGCTCAGTCCACTGAGTCACACTGGCCATGCCACATACTGCTTTTATTATAAACATTTTTTGAACAATAAATATATAGTAATTTACCTCTTATTGTTGGAAATATAGATTATTTTCAATGTTCCACCTTTCCCAAAGTTTTCTCTATATGGATACTAGTCCAAATATTTCTTGGCATCAATTTCTACAAGTAGAATTGCTGGTTCTGCAAATTTGTTAACATACTTTCTTCATAATGTTGTCTGAAAAATTAGCATATTCAGTTGTCAAGATTTGATGCTACCTGATGCTATGATCTTTTGAGGTTGGTACGACTGTTACATTTGGAGGCATTCTTGGTGACTTTCAGGACCTGCTTTTTCATTTTCTTCAGTGTGTGAGGAAGTCCCTTCTATTTCTGATCTCCATGGGTACTTCCCTCAAGTTCAGATCTTTTGCGACAGCTCTAGAAACCTGACTGTGCGACTCCTGGGCTCCACAGAAGAGGAAAGGCTCTCTTATCCGGCGCTGAAAGATCTTCCTCTGGACTTGAGACACGCTGAAAGAGCAGCCAGTTTCTGACGTTCCTTTCCTCTCCTCTGGCCTCCTACTTTGTTCAGTTCCACTTCATATACTAAATTCACTAGCTTGTTAAGTCAGGTGAAGTTCAGATGACTCTATTACAGACTGAGATTTTCCATCCTACAGAGTTGACAGATAGCACCTCCTCCAGAGTCTGTGTCTCCCACCTCCTCTTTCAACACCTGGCAAACTGTCCTTTTTCTCTTTCAAAGTCGGTTTGTATCTTTGTTACTCGAAAGGGACTGGGCCTGGAGCTGGTCTGCCTTGGGCAGGCCTGTAGTGTGCAGGTCCTTAACATTGTGGAGGAAAGATTTTACAATATGAGCCCAGGTTATTTTGAGAGTATGTTTATTAAAGCTGGGGACAGTGAAACAAGGAAGGACTTAGGACAGAAGAACTAACAGGAGAGAGCCAAGATAGGGCTGTTTTGGCTCACTAAGTCAGAGAAAAGGGAGCCTTGAAGACAGGTTTGGGGGTTAGCCCAGGACGAGCTGCTGCAAATCTAGTGGAGACCCTTAGAGGTTAGGAGGTGTACACTTGTCAGGGAAGAAGAGGGGAAGGGAAAAGAGCTGGCACGTTCCTAGGAAGGAAAGTGTGAGCACTGGGTCCTTCGTCTTGAGGGTTTTAAAGGATAGGAATTTAGGGAAGATCTTAGGGCAGGATCTCAACAGCATACTTATCAGTTTTATGCGGATTTGCGAAAATGAGATTTATTCCCTTAACTTCGCCTGTCCTTGGGTGTGGTTGGCACACATGGGCTAATTGAATTTCTACTGTCTATCTCCCTGAGTAGGATGATTTAAGCTACTTACCCTCTGGCTGGGGAGGAGAAGTGTAATCAACTTACTCTCTCTCTTTTTTTTAATCCTCACCTGAGGATATTTTTCCATTTTTGTTCAGATAGAGGAAGAGGAAGAGAGAGAGGAACATCGATATGAGAAAGACACATCAACTGGTTACTTCCTGCACCACCCTGACCAGGGCCAGGGAAGAACCAAAACTGAGGTACATGCCCTTGACCAGAATCGAACCCTCAAATCATTGGTCTGCAGGCCAACACTCTAACTAATGAGCCAAACCGGCCAGGGCTAACCCACTTCCTCTTAAGTGTCCCGGGTTTAAGGAAGATAGAATTTTACAATTTACTGATGACTGTAAACTGCTTGACCGTTTACCTATCTGTCTCACTCTCCCTAGTCCATTTTTCCTGGTTTACTGTCCTGTCTCATCTCCACCCTTGGATTACGTTCTAAGGACCCATTTACTGTTAGGCCATAATTTCTAGGCTTCTAATGATTAACGTATCCAATCTAGTCACACCTTTAACTGTTCTTTGTATTTCATTTCTTCGATGTAAAAAATCTGTTTACAGGGTCCGGGGGTTTGGTCTCACTAAAGCAGTCAGACTCGGGGCAGGCCTTGGAAGGATGCTGGTTGTCTAGAAAGAGTTAGGTTCACCACGTGCCTGGCACAGTGCTATCTGCATTACACAGGTTCTTTCTTTTCATCCTCACCACAGCCCTGGGAGGTAGGTATCATCACCATCCCCATTTTAGATTAGAGGCTTAGAGAGGTTGTCCCTCATCCACAATCACGCAGCTACTATGTGGGGAGTGGACCCCACTTCTGCTTGTAACCTGAGAAAATGAAGGAAAGGGAGGCAGGCCGAGAAATAAAATATAAAACGGGGTGAAGGAGCAAAAGAAGCGTAGATATCACATGAGCTCACTTATTTGTGGAGTATAAAGAACAAAACAAACTGATGAACAAAATAGACCCAGAGACGTGGAAGTAGGGTACAGACGACAAACCTCAGAAGAGGGGCTGGGGGGTGGTGGGGGAGAGAGATAAACCACAGAACTTATATGCATGTATGCGTAACCAATGGACATAGACACCGATGTTGGGGGGGGGGTCTGGAGGAGGATGTCAATGGGGGGGGGGAGAAACATCTGTAACAAAAATAAACTAATAAAAATAATTTTAAAAAAAAGAAAAAGAAACGTAGGTAGAGGGGCGGACGCAGCCTCCTTCCGGGCGCCTTTCCCACCGGGCCTGAGCCAGCATGCAGCCCCACCGCCGCCCAGCGGCCGCCTCTCTCCCCGCAGCACTTCCGGCCACGGGAGCGTGTCATTGACGGGCGCCCCGCGTCGGCGCAGACCACGTGCGTGCGTGTGCAGCAAGACGTCGGCGGGGAGGCGGGTCTTCCGCCCCGGCCCAAACCATTTCCGACAGGAGCCGGAAGCCGGGCCGGATGGCGCTGGGGGCGGCCTGCTGGTGGAGGTGAGCTGTGGGGCTGCCGCCTCCCGCGCCCGCTGGTCGCCTGATGGTGCGGGCCGCGGCCGCCAGGCCCCGCTCGGATCGGCGGCGCTGAGCGCCCGGGCCGCGTGCACCATGTCGTCGGGTCTCCGCGCCGCCGACTTCCCCCGCTGGAAGCGCCACATCGCGGAGGAGCTGAGGCGCCGGGACCGGCTGCAGAGACAGGCTTTCGAAGAGATCATCCTGCAGTGTGAGCGGCGGGCGGGCCCGGGCGCGGGCGGGCCCCGGGCGCTGCAAGGGGCACGTGGGGCGCCAGCGGAGGCGGGAGGCCGAGCCCCCGGCGCCGCCCCGACCCAGACCTTTCCCGAGGACACTTCCCGTCTGTCATTTTACCCTTGGCCGTGACAGCGTTCTCCTTACTGAAGTGTGTGTTCCGAGGCGGGCGCCATTCACGCTGGCTTTGTCGATGCCAGCAGCGCGCAGTGCTGCGGGCTCCCGCCCCGGCCGGCTTGGCGCAGCGGCTGGAGCGTCGGCCCGCGGTCCAGAGTCCGGTTCGGTTCCCGTTCGGGGCACGCACCTCGGTTGCAGTTTGTCCCCGGCCCCGGTTGGGGTTGCGTGGGAGGCCGCCAGTCCATGTGTCGCTTTCACGTTGATGTTTCTCTCTCTCTCCTTCCCACTCTATCTAAACAAAAATGGAAAAAATGTCCTCGGGTGAGGATAAAACATTTTAAGAAGTAGAATAAAAAGGCAGGCTCCGGAAACATCCTGTTTCTCGGGCATCGTGTGATTGGAACCGACGCCGCCTTGAAGCATTTAACCGGAGCAATTCACAGCGGCCTCTGCCTTGGTGTTTGACTATTGCACATTTTGAGTCGGTTGAGACTTTAAAATTGGGACATCATAGTGTTTCTGTTGTTACTGAAAACTTCAGTATGGAAAAAGGTGGTTTTCTTCCACCCGGGCTGCAATTTGAGTACGAAAGTGTACCCTTAGATACCTTCTAATGAGCACTTCCTAGCTCCCCCTGCCCGGATTTTACCATAACTGATGACACGACAAGGGTAAGAAATGGGCAGTCTTAAGTCCTGCGTTTTCACATACAGCTTGAAGCAAGCCTGACAAGGCTCTCCAGTTATGTTGATTGATGAGATTTCTGGTAATAGCAGTTGACCCTCGTTGAACTCTGTGCTAAATCCTGGTTCCCAAACCTCCCTGTATATTAGAATCACCTGGGGATCTTTAAAAAATTACAAAAATCAGTCCACACCCCAGACCCACTAAAAACAGCAGTACCTAGGGGTGAGATAACGACATCAGTATTTTTTTTTGCTGCTCCCCAAGTAATTCTCATGTGCAGACAAGCTTGAGTACTGTGGTAAATAGCGGGCAGGTGTTATTTCACTTAATCTTCCTGAAAGTCCCATGAAGCCGGCCCTGTTCTTTTTCACAGGCGGTGGAGAGAGACTAATCTCTGGACAGGTACAGCAGCTCAGTGGAGGGGCCTAGATTCGAATGCAGACTTGATGGCTCCTAACTTGGATTTGCTTTTCTCACTGGGTACCCCAAGAAATGACGCTTACTTGCCTTTGCTGAGTCTGTCCCCTTAACAAAGATGGGAAGGAGAGGGAGATGGTGATCCCTGTTGTCCCTTATACTCAAAGGCCCTGGCAGACCTGTGCTATTTCAGAAAGCCAGAAGCACAGGCAACCGCTCTTATGAAATGTGATTCCTTATCAGGTTAGTAAGTTCGGGTCACCAGGTATTTATTGAATGCTTGTTATTTATTTTTTTAAAATGTTTTTATTGATATTTTTTTTTTTTAAGAGAGGGGAAGGGAGAGAGAGAGAAACATCAATCGGCTGCCCTCTCAGTCCTTGGACAACACTTAATCCACTAAGTCACACTGGCTGGGTAAATGTTTGTTCTTTAAAAGCTAATACACATTGGAAGTCAAACTGGGTCTGAGAGCAGACTCCACCCCTTAAGCATTCTGTTCATTTGCTTTTCTGAGTCTGGTTTGCTGCATCTGTAAAGTGAGGGTGAAGCTTGCTCTGCCGGCTTCATAAAAACAAGGCTGTGTACGTACATGCTTTGAAAGCCATGGACGCAACAGTCTGTAAATGGAAGGTGCTTGTAATCGCATTGGCGCAATTTGAATGTTTTTCTGCACTTTAAAAATGGACATCTTGCCCTGCTGGTGTGGCTCAGTGGATTGAGCGTTGTCCCATGCACCAAGAGGTCACCAGTTCGATGCCTGGTCAGGGCATATGCCCAGGTTGCTGGATTGATCCCCAGTAGGGGGCATGCATGAGGCAGCAGATCTATGTTTCTCTCCCTCTCTCTCTCCCTCTCCCTCTAAAAAAATCAATTGGGGGGGGGGGGAATACATCTTGATAGGGTGCGAGGATGTATAAAAGCCGGGAGAGATCATTCCTGGAGAGGGAACACATCTTTAAAGAGCTGTGGAGGGTAAGCATACCTGAGGGGCTAGGAGGGGGCAGGACCACAGGACCACCTTTCTCTAGGCTGGGATTGACATTTGGGAGATCACTTCTAGTTTGACCTTGGAAGGCCCTCACTCTTCGCTCCAGCCTTCTCAGTCAAGCTCTGACTGTCTACGAGCACAGTCTCCTGTTCAGTTCCTGCCTCAGAGCCTGAAGAGAAAGATGAAAAGAGGCTGTGGGGACAGGGGACACCTCCCCAATACCTCGTACCCTTTGAAAACCCTGGTATTATCACAGGGCACCCAGCTCTGGTGTAACGTTTGGAAGATCTTATTAGAGCCCTTTGACACTGGTGAATATCCATGTTTGGAACCAACTCCCTGTTTTGCTGAGCTAGTTTATTAAATTAATACAGATGAAGAGAAGGTTTCTTTTTCTGACCAGGAATTCCATTTTCAGATATCAAGGAGAAATAGAACTCAGGACTCTTTTACTTATTTATTTATTAATCCTCACCAGAGGATATGCTTGTTGATTTTAGAGAGAGAGAGAAACATCCATTATATGTGACCTTGGGATGGATCCTGCAGCCTAGGTATGTACCCTGACCCGAAATTGAACCCGAGACCATTCAGTGTATGGGATGATACTCCAGCCATCTGAGCCACACTGGAGAGGAATGAAACTCAAGAATCTTTTAAGAGAAGAAAGAAGCTCTTCTAAAAGGCATGGTCACTAGCATAAACCCTATCACAATTTTGTTCATAACAGTTCCAATCTTAGACTTTTAGGATTTGCAACAATCCCCATCAAAGGTAGCTATTCTACAAATTTTCCATGGTCACTCCCTTTTTCTGATTAGTGCACCCCTTCTGATCTTGGTCCCCCCGGGTGCCTGTCATTCCTAACTATATGTCATTATTAGCCCTGACTCTTTTGAATTCCTGCACTGTGTTCCCTGTCCATTTGTTAACGTTCGGAAGCAAACTCATTTTCTCCCTTAAGCTCTGCCCTCCTGCTTATGTGACACAAGGGCATCTTCCACCCAGTTTCCTGAGCAAGGAACCTCAGAATGATCTTTGACTTCTTACTAATAAGTATCTGTTCATGTCACTATGTCCTTTTAAAATCTGTTGTTTCTCCATTGCCAGTAAGAAAAAGTCTGAATTTCTCATCCTGCCCTTTCATGTGTTGGCGCCAGCTGTTATTTCTAGCTACTTAACAAAGAGCTCTGCTGGTCCTCCTTCCTGGATTGTCATCTTTACCTATGAAACCATCGGAGGGAATGAGTAAAGGATTACTCTTCTCTCTCTTTTTTTTTTTATTATGTTTTTTAAGTGTTTTTAATGATTTTTAGAGAAAAAGGGAGAGGGAGAGATAGTTCGAACCATCAATGACAGAAACATTGATCAGCTACTTTCTGCACACCCCTACTGGGGATGGAGCCTGAAACCCGGTCATGTGACCTGACCTGGAATTGAACCAGTGACTTCTTGGTGAACTGGTCAACACTCAACCACTAACCACTGAACCATGTGGGCCAGGCTTCTCTTCCTTTCTATAACTGGACCCTCCACACTCCCACCCCAGAACACTTGAGCTCCTTGGGGTCAGGGCCTCTCATTCGTATCTGTGTCCCTAGTGCCCTGATCTAAAACTTAAATTGTCCAAATGTAATAATAAAGTAAAATTCTCCTGTATTACTTAGAGGTGCATAGTATTTCATTTTTCCATGTTACTTTTTACTCCTGAGGGAGAAATAGGTGACTGGGAGTAAAAAGCATTTTCAACTGCCTTTGATAGGGGGAAACTTCTTGAAGGTTTCATAGGTTCCTTTGACTGGGCTTCCCTTGCTTAGGCTAAGCAGCACCAAAGGAGTGTATATTCCTGGATGTTATTATTTATTTATTTATTTATTTATAATCCTCACCCAAGGATATTTTTCCATTTTTGTTCAGATAGAGAGAGGGAGAGAGCCACATTAACTGGTTGCCTCCTGCACAACCCTGACCAGGGCCAGGGACGAGCCACAACCAAGGTACCTGCCCCTAACCAGAATCGAACCTCCGACTCATTGGTCCATGGGCCAATGCTCTAACCACTGAGCAAAACCGGCCAGAGCTATTCCTGGATTTTAGATAATTGCTATAATTGGTGACAAAGTGAAGTGCCAATACTTTGATAACTAGTAAAAGTGAAAGCTACCCAGTGGTCTGGTTGTTTGTTTATTTTGGTCCAGATTTTTATAAGACATTAGTAAAAAAAAATGTATGTAGGTTGATTTTCTCTTTCTTTTTTTTTGACTAGATAACAAGTTGCTGGAAAAGTCAGACCTTCATTCAGTGCTGGCCCAGAAGCTACAAGCAGAAAAGCCGGACATACCCAACAGGCACGAGATAAGGTACTCTGAAACTGTCCTGTGTAGTGTGTACCTCCTCCTGAATTACATTAGTCTCTGTCCAGATGTCACTTCTCTGATTGAGAAGCAAACCAGTGCTGTTTCTGTGCTTGTGTTTTCTGTCAGCTCCTAACAGATAAGATTCTGAAACCAGATAACTAAAATCATTTTTTCAAAGGTACATACCTACCTACTTTGAAGGGTTGTCATTAGTAAGATGCTGTAAGCCAGAGAAACTGCTTCAGGTGGGTGACTAGGCCAGTTCTTCCAGCAAGTCAGGGTTCACATTCTCTAAACAATCAGCCGAGTCAGCATTCTTGAGCAGATTTACGTAGATCTTGTTAACACAGGATTGCCATAAGTTCTTTTTGCTACAAAGCAGGTTTATTTGGTCCTTTTTAGTTCAGTGTTAGTCAACATGTTTTAGTAGATTGTGAAGTTAAACTAACAGGTTGTGACAAGCGCCCCCTCTCCTTTTTTTAAAGAAAGATTCTGGGGGGAAAATCTGCATTTTTATAGGAAGGGTGAGTATTGTCTTGTTAAATATGCATATATGTGTTCATGGTGGGGTGTGTTGTGTTTACTTGGGTCATTTATGTAAACCATATTTCTTTTTGAGGGTCATGGTCAAAAAACCTGAAATCCATTTTTCATCAGAGTACCTTAAATGGAATCATTCTAGAGTCTTACTGTTTTCTATTTCTATATGCTCACATTTGCATATTAAATTTGATGGTTTGTATAAGGGCAGCACCCATTATTGCTCTAAACTTCCATTCTTATTTGCATGTTAGTTAATGTTTAGCAATTTTAAGAATAAGGTTAACAGTGATTTGGGGTTTTTATTTTTATTTTTTTTATCCTCACCCGAGGACATTTTCCATTTTTTGTTCAGGTAGAGTGGGAGAAAGAGAGGAAGAGAGAGAGAAACATCTATGTGAAAGGGACACATCGAGTGGCTGCCACCCTCATGACCAACCGGGGCCGGGGACAAACTGCAACCGAGGTACACGCACTGAACCCGGGTCTCTCTGGACCAAGACCGATGCTCTAACTGCTGAGCCAAACCGGCCAGGGCTGATTTGGGGGTTTTAAAAATCACAGAAATGCTAGGTGTAGCTTAATATCTTTACTCCTACAGCTGAGTGGGCTGTGCAACTGCCTGTCATCCATGTTCCTTCTCTGACCAGATGGTCTCCTGGCCAACCAGAGTGGGAAAGGCGAACAGATGGCCTGACCCAGGTTCCATCCATCAATTGAAAACTAAAAACATTTTCTTTCTACCAGCCTAGACTTTTGGTGACTGTGTTCCTGTATTCTTTATCTGTCAGTCACACTCATTTGCTTAAAAGGGTGCTATAAGTAATGTAAAACAATTCTTTTAGCTGAATATCATGAGAGGTGGTGTGGTAATTTGACTGGTGGTCTTTCCTTCCCCACAAACTTGTGTCCATAATCAGGCTTCTCCTGACAGCCTCAGTTCTGTTCTTTCCATGAGTCATCTGTGGTTCCTTTTTCCCTCCGTGTCCTGCCCCTCCCCATAGAGTGGGTTCCCTGGGCCTGCTGCTTCCTCTCACAGTCCCTAGTGCACCTGTCCCTTCGTTTACATTTATTTTGCACCCCCTCCCCTTTGTTATCTGTCCGTTCACCCCTGCACTGTGGCAGGAGTCTCCTGCACTCAGACAGGTGTGACTGGTGTGGCCAGTGTTAGGGATACAGAGATGAAAAGGCCAATGTCATGTCCCTGCTCTTAAATGAATTGGGTCTAGTGAGGGGAGCCGGGACCAGTTCAAAAGGTGGTTGCTAGTGTAGTGAGTGTAGACACAGAAGATGACCACCTGACTGGTTTTGTTTTTAAAAATTCAACTTGAGTAAATTTGAAAGTGAAATTGGATTTATTAAGCAATCTGTGAATCGGGCAGCATCCCATCTAGCCATCTGAAGGGTCTTCTGAAATGGGAGGTTTTTATAGGAAGAAGGGTGGGGCAAGGGAGTTACTAACAAAAGAAAGAATTATTGCCCCTCCCAAGGGTTTTTTGTTTGTTTGTTTTTATCAGTGGAGTGTCTCTTTCTATGGGGAGGGAAGAAATAGACAGATTCCCTCTTGGTGTTGACCAGAAACCTGCAGAGTGGTTGATTAATCAGGGAAGGGTTGAAACTGCAGTCAGACCAGGTATTAAATCTAGGTTTGGGATTATTGGCTTTTAGCCTGTGGTTTTTTTTGTTTGTTTTATTGGGGGGGGGGGTGGTCATTGTTAATCTTCACCTGAAGATATTTTCCCTTTTTTTTAAGATAGAGAGGGAGGGAGAGAGAGAGAGAGGAGACGCATCAATTAGTTGCCTCCCACACATCCCTGGTGACCCTGACCAGGGCCAGGGCTCGAACCTGCAACCCAGGTATGTGCCCTTGACCTGGAATCAAACCTGGGACCCTTTCGGCTGGCGCTCTAACTGCTGAGCCAAACCAGCCAGAGCTGGGCCTGTGATTTTCTCTTTAAGTGTTTTTCTCCCTTCTGTTTCCTTAAGTGCTGCCCATTTTGTCCTAATCAATCTTAATAGAATTATGCACTTGAAACCTAAATAATTTTATTAACCAGGGTCACTCCAATAAATTGAATAAAATTTTAAAAATACTTTAAAAAGCTTTATTTACGTCAGTTATCTGACTTCTCTCTCAAGTGGTTAATCCCTTTGTGTGCTAATCAGATTAAATTCAAGTCTTCAGCTTGGGCATAGTAGGTTCCAGTAGTTTTCTAGCTATGCTCCCTGGACTGCAGCATCTAGGAAGTTATTTGAAATGGAAAGCCTTGAGTCCCTTGGGCCCTGCCCCAGAACTATTATTTCAGAAACTTGGAGAGTGGAAACTCTTTAGGTAGTCCCGATGACCTCTGACTGCTCAGAACCCCTGCGATAGTCCTTGTGAGTCAGCGGTGTCACACCCTGAGAGCTTCTTCTGGACGTGTAGATTATCCTGTCTCAGACCTGTCTCAGTGTGGGGTGGGCCCAGGAGTCGGTTTATTTTTATTTATCTAATATCTTTTTATTGATTTCAGAGAGAGGAAGGGAAAGGGAGAGAGAGAAACATTGATGAGGGAAACATTGATTGGCTGCCTCCTACACAGCCGAGCCCAAAACCTGGGCATGTGTCCTGACCGGGAGTTGACCCTGTGACCTCCTGGTGCATAGGTTGATGCTCAACCCCTGAGTCACACTGGGCAGGCAAGAATCTGTTTAAACATGCCCTCTAGGTGATTCTCTTATCTCCCTAGTGGAGCCCTGTTGGTGGGCTATTGTTAGGAGTTTGATTTTTGCTTTGAATAAAATTGGAAGTAGTAGGAGGCTTTGAAGTGGCTCTAGTGACTTGTATCCTTGTCCTAGTCATGAAGCTCTTTTCTAGAATGCCCTGAACTGGAATTGAACAGGGACATCTCAGTCCATGGGACAACATTCAGTCTACTGAGCCACCCCAGCCACGCTGTAATAAAAACACTTTAGAGCCCGGCCGGGGTGGCTCAGTGGTTGGGCCTGACCTTCTTCCCCCTGGTGGCGGGCATGCAGGAGGTGGCCAGTCGATGTTCTCTCTTCAATGTTTCTATCCCTCCTTTTCCCTCCCTCTCTCTAAAATCAGTAAAGAAAAAGTGTTTTTACAAAAACACTTTAGAGATGGAGGGTCGAGTTAGGAGGGAACATCATGCTGCCCCCTTTCCCCTCTGTAGTTCCTCACCCGAGGATATTTTTCCATTTTTTGTACAGATAGAGTGGGAGGGAGAGAGAGAGAGAAACATCGACGTGAAGGGACACATCGAGTGGCTGCCACCCGCACGACCAACCAGGGCCGGGGACAAACTGCAACTGAAGTACGTGCCCTTAGCGGGAACCGAACCCGGGTCTCTCCGGACCGCAGGCCGACGCTCTAACCGCTGAGCCAAACCGGCCAGGGCTCCCCTCTGTATTTCATTATCCAGGTGGAGGAGGTGGCCTCCCCTTCCCTTCAGGTGGTGGTATCCCAGTTTTCCAGCTTCCTTTCTTTTCTCCATGTGTGCTTTCCCTGGGCATGGTCTGATCATTCACAGCTGTAGCTCCAGCTGAGACCCATCTCCTGAACTAGAAACCCACAGTTCTAGCCACGTGCTGCTGTTTCTGAGCTGCTGTTGCAAACACCTGCAGGGTTCTCAAGACTATTGGTTCTGGAGGCAATCTGAACAGGTTCCGCGCCTTCGGACACCTGTCTGCTGGCAGTGTCTGCATGTCAGCCTCCAGCTCGGGCCTCTTGACTTGAAGTTCAGACTGGAACATCCAATTTCCACTCAAAATACCCACTAGGTTGTTCACACTGAACTCTTCAGCCCTCTCCCAAACCTGCTCCTCCCATAATCCCTCCTATTTTAGTAGGTGACGCCTCATTTTATCGGTTGCTCAGGCCAAAAGCCTTGGAGTCATTCTTGATTCCTGTCTGTCTCATACCCCAGGTCCAGTTCGGGGGCAAGTCCTGTCATCTGTCTTCAGAATGGATCTAGCTAGGATCTGGCCCCCTCTCGCCCCTCCCTGTGGCCACCTCCATCTGAGCTGCACTGTCTCGAGCCCAGACTGTGGACTGTGTAGTAGCTGCTAACTGGTCTCCCTGTGCCCACCCTTGCCCCCTGCAGCCTGCTCTCCACCCAGCACCTTGAGTGACCCTTTTAGAATGGAAGTGTTTCCTCCGCTCTAAACCCTCCAGTGGCTTGCAGTCACGCCTAGTAAAAGCCACAGTCTCGGGTCTGCGCGGCTCTGCATGACCTCCACACTCCTCCCTGACGGGCTCCTGTGCTCTCTGCACCTGGAGCTCCAGTCCCACTCTCTCCAGAGAAGGGCCCCCAGGGCCATGTGGCTTGGTCTCACCTCTTTGCAGTCTTCGCCGTTTGTGTATGACCTCTCAGAGAAGCCTCCCCGGATCACCCTGCATAGAACAGGACCCCTGTCGCTCTGCTCCCTTCTGTACCCTGCTTAGTTTTTGTTTTTTTTCTTTTTAAATGTTTTTATTGATTTTTAGGGGGAGAGAGAGAGAAACATTAATTGGCTGCCTCCTATACATCCCCTCCTACTGGGGATCGAGCCCCAAACTGGGGCATGTGCCCTGACTGGGAATTGAACCTGCAACCTCTCAGTGCATAGGATGATGCTTGGCCCACTGAGTGACATGAGCCAGGGCACCCTGCTCAGTTTTCTCAGCACATCTGACCACCTGTCTTCATGTCACTTGTTCATTGTCTGCTCGTGACGGAGTGACAGCTGCAGGAGAGCAGAGCTCGGTGCTGCCTTCCCCCAGCCCCAGGAGCAGTGCCCGCACCAAGCAGGCACTCATGCTTGCCCGGTGAGTGGCCGGAGTGTCTCCCCCATACTTACCTACCCTTCATTCTGGAACCCACCCTTTCTTCCTGACCCACCTGGCGGTTCGGGTGGTGATTGGTCTCCTACTTCCTACTCAGGTTGGTGTGGCCGGTAACTACACTCGCCTGGAGAGACTGTCCGCTCTGTCGTCTGTGTTGTCATGTTCATGGGTGGAATTCTGGAGTTGCTGTTCCATTGCCTGGTTGACAGGGCTTGGGGTCTGATTTCTTTTCTTCCTCTCTTTTTTGCACATTCTGTTCTTCTGTCTGGTTTGGGGATGCAGTCCCGGACATGATGGTGCGTGGAGTGATGGCCAACTGCAGGAAATGGCCCAGCTGAAGATGAGACACCAGGAAGAGCTGACTGAGCTGCACAAGAAGCGTGGGGAGGTAAAGAGCCGCCGCCTCGTCTGCTTCTGTCTGTGTGGGTCTTCCGGGGAGCACGGGCGGGCAGGATCCCCTCGATTTGCAGCCACGCTGGCTCTCTGGCGTCACCAGCTCTGCCTGTGGGAGTGAAACAGTGGTAAAAGTGTGAGGTCCTAGCCTCCTTCAGCAAGAGAGCAAGCCATTGACACCACTGCCCGTTGTCAGGCTCCAAGACCATGAAGGACGTGGAGAACCTGGAGAGGAAAGCAGCTCTCTGCTCGGCCCGAGTGCTCTTCCTAGCGCCTTCACACGGCACTCAGAGCACTGTCAGGCTGCGAGCAGACGAGTGGTCGCCGGGGGGGGGACGGCAAAGGATCACTTGTATGGTGACGGATGGAAACTAGACTTTTGGTGTAGTGTATACAGATGTCGAATTATATGTGATGTTGCACACCTGAAACTTCTGTAATGTTATAAACCATTGTTACCTCAATAATAAATTTTTTTTAAGCTGCTGAGAGTGCCCAGCCAGTGTGGCTCAGTGATTAAGCATTGACCCCTGCACCAAGAGGTCACTGGGTTGATTCCCGGTCAGGGAACATGCCCAGGTTGTGGGCCTGATCCCCAGTGGGGGGCATGCAGGAGATGGCCAATTCATGTTCTCTCTCATTGATGTTTCAATCTCTCTCTCCCTCTCTCTTCCTCTCTAAAAATCAATAAAGAAAACAATTTTCTTTTAATAAAAATAGAAGCTTCTGAGAGTGAGTCCTGAAATTTCAGAAAGAATCATTAGAATCAAATCCTGGGAAATTAGGAAAGAAAAAAAAATGCATCAGCTGAATTGATTGTTTTATCAGCTCCTGGGTCTGGAAAGGTAGCCGAGGCGAGGGGCGGACAGGTGTCTTTGGCAGGAACCCGGCAGTCGTCTAGAACTCTTCTCGTCCATCCAGCCTGCCTTCAGCAGGGATCACCACACCATGCCCATGAGCATCCCCATAGGCCCTGCGGCTCCTCTGCTACCCAGCTCATCTCTTCCTGTCTTGGCTCAACCCCTCAGGAACCTTTGATTTCTTAGAAATAAGATAACTCACTGTTTAGTTTTCCGAAGAGGTCCTTAAATCTCTTATTTATGAAAGTGTCTTCTTTATCTCCCAGTTAGCTCAGCTGGTGATTGACCTGAATAACCAGATGCAGCAGAAGGACAGGGAGATGCAGATGAATGAAGCAAAGTGAGTAGAGATAACCCCTTGAGGACTGGTCGTGGGATCACTCCCCCGTTTTATCTGCTGAGTCCTTGTGAGCAGGGCCGGTACTGTCTGGTCGCAGTGGCAGTCATGCTGGCCTAGTGGGTTCATTCTGTGCACAGCTTGGGCTCTTCCTGCTCTAAGGATGGGAAGGCAAGGACGGTGCCTCGGCCTCCTTCTGGGAAGCACCTTTATTCCTGGGCATTCTCAGCTCTCTGTGGCCACTGGGTATGCGAGTTGGTGTCTTCTGTGGTAGAGATAGTGCCAAGATATCAAGCTGTGACTCTTGAGGACAGGGATGCGTTTGTGGGTGGGATTATTCTTGATGGGGAGAAGCCTAGCAGATAAGATGATCAGACTCAAGCCTGAGTTTTGTCAGTGTCTTTTTCCGTAATATGCAGAGCGGGGTCTCTAGAGGCTTAGCAAGGTGAAGGACTTTCTTGGGCATTCTCACTCAGTGAATGATAGAGGTGATGGAGTACAAAGCATTTCCAGCCTCCTAAGTCCCCGCTGACCACTCAAATTAAGCACCAAAAGACCCCCTCTTCCTTCAAATTCAGCTTTTCTTAAAGGTGCTGTAATATTCATTGTGTGGATGAATTTGACCCCAGATGCTTCCTCTTCCATTGGGGTTGTCCTGTAAACCCTTGGGCCTGGGCTCGACTAAGTGAGGGGTCATAACTGAAGTCTCCCACGTGGGACCTGCTGTGATGGCTGGGGTCACTGCCGGGGCCCAAGCTCGTACAGCTCGAGCCCTGGCCAGCACCATTCCTCCCATGTGTCGTGCTTACAGGATTGCAGAATGCTTGCAGACGATCTCTGACCTGGAGACGGAGTGCCAAGAACTGCGCAGTAAGCTGCAAGACCTCGAGAGAGCCAACCAGACCCTGAAGGATGAATATGATGCCCTGCAGATCACTTTCACTGCCTTGGAGGAGAAGCTTCGGAAAACTTCGGAGGAGAACCAGGAGCTGGTCACCAGGTGGATGGCCGAGAAGGCCCAGGAAGCCAATCGCCTCAATGCAGAGAATGAAAAGGATTCAAGGTGGGAGATGAGCCCGTGTTTACTGGGTTCCTTTTTTTCAAAAAGTGGAACTTGGGTCTTTGAAAAGAAGGAACAAACCTGACAGCTCCAACCACAGGGTGGGGGAAACCGGCAAACCCTAAAGGAATGGAAATAGAAGGGTGGATATAACGAGATTTGCGCCCTGGCCGGTTTGGCTCAGCAGTTAGAGCGTCGGCCTGCGGTCTGGAGAGACCCGGGTTCGGTTCCCGCTAAGGGCACGTACCTCGGTTGCAGTTTGTCCCCGGCCCTGGTTGGTCGTGCAGGTGGCAGCCACTCGATGTGTCCCTTCACGTCGATGTTTCTCACTCTCTCTCCCTTCCTCTTTCTCCCTTCCATTCTATCTCTACAAAAAATGGAAAAATATCCTCGGGTGAGGATAAAAAAATAAATAAATGAATAAAGAGATTTGCGTTTATGAGAACACTTTGGCAGCTGAGCAAGCGATCACCTGCCGAAGGGGCTTTGGCCCATGCTATTTCTGCTAGTGAATTCTTTCATTGTTTTGAGGAGAAAAGTTAGTTCTTTTTAAAATTTTATTATTTTTTAATCCATACCCGAGGACATTTTTCCCATTTATCTTCAGATAGAGTGATAGGGAGGGAGAGAGAGAGAGAAACATCGATGTGATAAAGACACATCAGCTGGCTGCCTCCCACACAACCCGGGCCGGTGACTGAACCGCAGCCGAGGTACATGCCCTTGACCGGAATTGAACCCACAACTCTGGTCTGAGGGCCGACACTCTGACCACTGAGCCAAACTGGTCAGGGCAGAAAGCTAATTCTTTAATAATATAAGTTAAGCCAGAATTAGAAAAAGATTGAAATCCCCACAATTTTGTAAAACTATTCGGACCCACATCAAAAATTCTGATTTTGCTAGTATACAAAAAGATTGTAGTCCAACTCTCACATGAATATCCATGTGAAATTTTTTAATCAAACTCACTGTACATTTTTTTTCTCTTCATTTACTGCAGTTCTGCTAGGATTTAGCCCAGGAATTTTTCTGGGCCCTGGCCAGTTTACAGCTCAGTCAGGGGCACGTACCTCAGTTGTGGTTCAGTCCCTGGCACTGGTCAGGGTCGTGCAGGAGACAAGCAATCGATGTGTCTCTCTCACATTGATGTTTTTTTTTCTCTCTCTCCCTCCCACTCTATCTGAACATAAGTGGGAAAATACCCTCAGGTGATTATTTTTTAAAAAGATGTTTTTTGTTGAAAGCAATTAAATAGATCACATTAGATGATAGACTCTTTGAACACTTTGGTAGATCCCAAAATGGCCATTTGCTCAGACTCAGTTCCCAGCCCTGATTAAAAAAAAACCCTTAGACTGGGAACAGAAACTTTTCATAAAAACACCTGTCTGTAACCAACAGCCAATAGTGTACTTAACCAGGGAACCTAGGAGTCAGTCTTAGTGGAGGGAAATTTGTGAAAATTTTCCCAGAGAGTTTGATAACATTCGTGGAGAAGGTCCATCATCCTACATGCATTCCCATCAAACCTGGAACAGAAAAGGGAGGGGCCCACTGTCTGGACTCAAGAGATGTTTTGGCCATCCAACCAGATAGGGCACCAAATGTAGGGCTGATGGGAGGTGGGGAGGTCATGATTATCTACCTAGAAGACCTAAGAAAATCAACTGAGAAACTAGTAATGAGAGTTTACCAGACATTAGAACATGTGATTTTAAATCTCACGTCAATAGAATTTGACTAGATTATTGCAGTTAAAATGAATGAATGAATGAATGAAAAGTGTCTTAATAATAGCACTAACCCTGCCAAATAATATATTTAAATAGATTGCAAAATCTGTATGAAAACTGAAACCATAAGGTAGAAGTAAAAAATATGACTGCTGTTTATTTTGTGAAGAATTCCTGAATAGGAGTAGTGGAGGACTTTCTAAACGTAAAAGGAATGGAAATAAAGAATGGGCTATAACATTTTTAGGCTTCTAAACATGAAACAGTACAAATAGTCAATTAGGACATTTTATTATAAATTAAATACTGTATTTTCAATACAGCCAATAAAGAACAGGGTTCTGAGATGGGCAGATGTAAAACAAGTCGTTCGTGAGAGACGTGCACATGGTCAGTAAATCTGGCAGAAAGGGCTGTTGGGAGGCAGCTGGATAGGGTGATGATGGAAAGGCCATTTTTACAACCTGAGGGCACTTGGAGGTGACTGGGAGCCTGGAGAGCGTTCCCACTCGTCGGACTTCATTCCGAGGGAGGTAAGCGGTTGTTCAGAGGGTGAGAAGCTGGGAGCGGGGTGTTCTTGAGAGAGAAATAGATTGTGATATATTCCTAGTGGGGATTTTGAATGAATTAAAAAGAAGGGATTATGTTAGTATTTATTTCTGGGTGGTGATATTTGTTTTTTCTCTTTTTTACTTTTTCTGTATTTCCTAACTTTCTTGAGTTTCTACCATATTAGGAAAAACAATGAGTTGTCCTTTCTATATTCTTCATGTCTGGTGTTTCTTATAAGTCAAATAGGTCGGTTTAGGCCTTGGAACTCTAAGGCAGCTGGGGTGTGGGGAAGTCTGAGGGTTGCCTAGAAGTCGTTACCTGTGTGTTGAATACCCGTTGGAGAGAGGAGTGGACAGGCCAGTGACTGGGCCGAGGAGGAGCCCTGTAGCTTCGCTGTGCATGGGGAGGGTAATGCAGACTTTCTGGTAGAAATGGGCTGTGAGGCACATCACGGATCTGCCTCTGGTTCCTTCCTCTGGAACTTTTTCCTGGGGATGTGTGCATGGAACTGTCAGCATCAGAATGTGTACGTGGGGCCTGGAGACTACTCATTTAGTTCCTTCTTAGAAGCTTCCCTCTTCAGCTCCCCCCCCCCCCCCCCCCCCGATTACTGGCTTCCTCCTTCTAGCAGCTTTTATTTCCCTGGCTCATAGTGTGATGCACTGTTTTGAAATAGCTGTTCATGTCCTGCCTGCCTCAGTAGGCTGCGGAATGTCCCCACGGTCAGGCACCGTGGCTGCTGTGGAATTGAGTAGCAAGAAAGCCGTGTCCTTTCGGCTTTTCTAATGAAGGCAGGTGCAGGTGTTTCTTCTCCCTGTGACCCTAGGTCTGTCCCTCCTCGCAGACAGGTGCCTTTTCTGTAGAGTGGCACACACCCCACACTGAGATGCTGCTTTTCCCTCAAAGACAGTTCATAGAGTGTGTATTCCATCTAAGAAAGATTTGTTAAACTGCATTTAGAGTTCTGGATTGGGGGTCCTTGGTACAGCGGGTGAAACCGCAGAGGTGAGATTGACCACAGCAAAGAGAATGAGGCCAAGGTGAAAAATTAGGGAACTCCAGCATTCAGGACTTGAGAAGGAGAGACAAAAATAGTTTTGAGAATGGATACGACTATTGATAGCATTAAGATTTTGCCACAGCCGAGGCTTCTGTGTTTAGCCCTAATGAATTTTAGTCTTGTACATTTTGATGATTCAGGAATCTCACTGTACCTCAGTTTCCTCATCTGTAAAATGGGAATAATGGCACTTAACCTCAAAGTATTGTTGTACAGACTAAATGAGTCAAAACCTGTAAAGTAAATAAAACTGAGCCAGGCACAAGTAAATGCTAAGTAAATCTTAACTGTTATTATTCATGCTCTTGATATGTCAGTCTGAGACTGTGCTGCAGGGAATATTGCGGCCACGGTTGACCCTGCACCCACCCGATGTGCCTTTCTGTCCTGAGAGGCCCTGGTCCCATCGGGCAGGCTTCTCCCCTGCTGGTTCCCTGCTTTTTCTGATAACATAATCCTTCCTCCGGGCTTGCTCTGAAACCCTTTATAATGGAATCTTTACTGATGTTCCGGTGTGGGTTTGGGACTTTGGTCTTTGTCTGGAACAATTTTTTGGGTTTTTTTTTTTGTGTGTGTGTTTTTTTGTGGTACGTACCCCTAGCAGGACCGAACCCAGGACTCTGGTCCACAGGCCGACGCTCAACCGCTGAGCCAAACTGGCCAGGGCAGCAGTTGGTGTTTTTAATGCACCAAATACTTAGATGTATTATTAGAGCTACTTTATTGAGAGCTGAAACCTCATGCATTTTTTTAGCAAACATATGCAGTGGGCTTTAAAACTTTTTTTGTTTTAATAGGAGGCGGCAAGCCCGGCTGCAGAAAGAGCTTGCGGAAGCAGCGAAGGAGCCTCTGCCGGTCGAACAGTAAGTAGACAGTCGAATCAAAACTGTGCTCTTAATAATTTGATTGACTCTTCTTAAATAAATTTTTTTCTATAAAACCATTTTATAGATTATTGAAAGAAATGTAAAAGACTTAAGGGAGAAAAGGACCCTCATTTCCTCCAGAAAGTTTTCCCTGTTTACACTCCTCATGTGCTGTGAGTGCGAGTTCTGACTTCCAGCACCCCGGCCAGTGACAGCCTCCCTGTTTTCCTGTTGACACCCATCCATTTCTCCCCCAGGTCGGGGGCTGTTGCAGTGGAATGCTGGACTGGATTCTTTCTCTCGCTCTCTTGGTTTGTGGCTTTAAGTGGACATTCGGGCAAATCTTTTAAGCATAAGTGAAGACTAGAATCTCTCAGGACAAAAGGAATTGAATAATTTGGAACTTTCTAACCTGGACGTGGAGTGGGAATCTTCTCTGAGACCCAAAGTTTGTTTTGAGGCAGTAGATGTTTTCATGACTGAATTCCTTTTGCCTCTAGTTCAGGATATGTTTGTTTTCTGTTGAATTTATTCTGAATATGGCATTAGAATTATGATCTAGTTTTTTAAATGATGCTCCCATAGAAGTGGAGGGAGGGGTTTAAATTCAGTTGGGAGTCATCTAGCAGACAAAGGCCTTAACTTCTAGGAAAACAAGATGTTCTCTTACCAAGCTTTGCTTAAAGATGCACAGTGGGTATTCTGTCTTCTTAGGTGTGGAAAACGAACCTCACAAAACTACCAAGCAAATAAATAATTGGCCTGGAAATGAGATTTGATGTCTTAAAAATAACAACTTACAAAGCATTATTTGCTCACCTCCTGTTTGCCAGCATAAAAGGGTGACTGGGTGTCACGTGATTTAGACAGGTTGAGCATCCTGAGCGAGGGTGCAAACCTAGGGGTGTCTGACTGTCAAGACCTGTTCTTAATCTCTGTGCCTCCCTAAGAGGAGTTTCTTGGAGAAAAGATGTTGACATCTTTGAAGGGTTTTGATAAGTAATTGCTGAATCCTGGTATTTTCTCGTGGCCCTGGGTCTTTGCAGAGTTCCAAGTACCTTTATTTTATGGCCATAAAATTCTACCTTAAAGCGTCGCCATTGGCTCAGCTCATGTTTGCTGCCCTGCCATCTCTGCTGGTCTGTTGTCACCCTTATGTGAACACAAGCAACTCTCCAGACCATAACTGAGAAGAAAGGAAGCTCAGCCTTGTCCTCTTTCTTCAGGCCGCCTTTGCTTCCCTGTATCCAGCCCGGCCTGGGCTCAGTCGCATGGAGCCCTAGAAGCACTAGCCAAGGCAAATACATGTACTTTGAGTTGGTTAACTTGCTTGGTAACAGGTTCTTAAATATATGTTTACTTAATCCAGATAGTTAATCATGGAAAAATCTTGCTTTCTATCTCTTATGCATCCAAAAATTAGGTGATACAGTCTTGGGTTATTGCATTTTATTATTTTATTTCTCCATGAAGATTGAAACCCGGTAGGAGGTCCTTAAGACCAAAATAATGACTTGCTTTCCCCACTACGAGGAAATTGGAGGGGGGAGGGGATTCCAGAAGCACTTTTGCTTCCGTGGGATAATCAATAGCAAAGGAGTATGTTCCTATGCTTGATGACTTCATGCGAAGTGTGATAGACTCCCCAAATGTCAGGAGCACTGAGTATTTAATTTATTTTTATTTTTATTTTTTTAATCTTCACTTGAGGATTTGTTTTGATTGATTTGAGAGAGTCAGACATCGATCAGTTGCCTACCATATGTGCCCTGACCAAGATCATTTTCCAAACCTTTTGGTGTATGGGCATCGCTCCAACTAAATGAGCCACTCGCCAGGGCAGGAGGGCTGAGTATTTTAAACATAAAATACCCAGAATCAAATGAATTGTGTTTAGATTTTGCTTTCCTGTTTTTTGTGTTATTAAAGTAATATTTAAAACTGTTACTAAGGCAACTGTTGATTTCATTGCTCTTTTATGGGTCCCTTTTCTTATTTACCAGGAACGTCTCCCTCCACTTGTTTTCTTGCCCTGCCTATCCTCTGGGCCCCTCTGCCTGTCTCAGGGGAACTATTTATTGGTGAGTAGTCCAGTTGTTAGAGGACAGTAGGCCTTCACCTGCACACCAGACTTCAGACAGAATCTATCTTGGCCCAGTTGGTGTGGCTCAGTGATTGAGCGTTGACCCATGTACCAAGAGGTCGCTGGTTCGATTCCTGGTCAGGGCACGTGCCCAGGTTGTGGGCCAGATCCCCAGTGGATGGCATGCAGGAGGTGACCAATCGATTTTAATCTCTCATCAATGTTTCTATCTCTCCCTCTTCCTCTCTCTCTCAAATCAATAAAAAAAAAATTTTTTTTTAAAGAATCCACCTTGGTGCTGGTTATGGACTTAATAAATCATTATTTGCTTTCCAAATGGGATCTAAAAGGATCAAAAGCTCACTTTTACAGTTCTTTTCTGTTGGAATTCCGGGTTTGATTTGGACAGGTTCCAGGTTTCTTTGAGTATTGTTTAGAGCATGGCAGCTACTTTTTCTCCAAGGAACCTTCGCCACCACTGTCACGTAAGGGGTGTGTGACTGAGAAATGGCACTGGCATTTGCAGAACAGACTCCCCACATAGCTCCTGCTGAGCAGAATCAAAGACTTGGCCTCTTGCCCTTCTTTCCAGGGATGATGACATTGAAGTCATCGTGGATGAAACCTCTGACCACATTGAGGAGACCTCTCCCATGCGAACCATCAGTAGAGCGGCCACGTAAGTAGACCGCTGGCCGGGAAAGGAGAGCTCGGGCACAGTTTCACAGAGCACGCCGTGGCCCGACAGCAGTCTCCTGTACCCAGGCCTCTGTGCGGGAGCACTGGGCCCTGCTCAGCCAGAGATCAGTGGGCTCCTCAGTGTCCCCATCTTGCACTCGACCCAGTGGGAGGCCAGCCGTCCCTAGTGCTGCCACCCCCGGCTGTGAAGGAAAGGTGGGAGGATGGACAGTTCGCCCTTGTTATGCAGGGTGGTTGTTTAGATTGAGCCGGTTAACTCTTAGGGGGGCTCAAGGATTCTTTATATTTGGTAAAGCAGGACTGAAAGAATGGGGATTGGTTTTTAACAGCCAGAAATTGTTAGTTAGACTATTTCATTGTCAATAACATTGTTTCAGGGAAGTTAATTAAATGCTGAGAGCCTTGTGTCTTTAAAACTTTGGGGCTGGGGTTCTCTCCTACCTGTTGTCCGGTGGTTCGTACTGTGATGGGTTTCTCGGCTGGGGTTTGGGAACTTGTGGGAAACATACTCCCAGGTACCTATTTTTGTGGACTGTTTTTATTGATTGATCATTTGGGCAAAATGTTTCTAAGGTTTAAACCTATCCTCCCCTCCTCTTTAGTAAGCGACTCTCGCAGCCTGCTGGAGGCCTTCTGGATTCTATCACTAATATCTTTGGGTAGGTTAGAAACCTTCACCTTGCCTTGTTGATGCGTATGTAAATATACCGAAGTATATGTACTTGATTTATTGTCTTTTTTTTTTTTTAATGTACACCAGAATTTCAATGGTGCAGAATATACAGATGCCTTAATTTCAGCTTTTCATTTAGCTTCTTTCTTTTTCCTCAACTTCCTTTCTCTCAATCTCGCTGCGTGCTGATCTCTGGCCTTCCCTTTAGTCTGTCCGAGTCTCCCCTTCTGGGACATCACTCTTCCGATGCTGCCAGGTGAAAACACTATCCACTCTTCTCCCAGCATGTGGCTGTGGGTCGTTGGTAATCAGCTGATCACCGCTTCACTGCCCTCGATCATCAGTGTCCCTGTGCTGACCGAGACGCTTTGCATGTTCCTAGGAATGCCGCCAGCCCTTGAGTGGGAGTGACTAGGTCGAGCTTTGTACAGCAGCCACGCTCTCGCCATTCCTTCTTGGCATGTGTTCAACTTCGCCTTGACCACAGTGTACGCTAAGGATGATTGTGGCTAGACAGACTGACTTTCTTCTTTTTAGAGAGAGAGAGAGAGAGGGGAAGGGAGAGAAACATCGATTTGAGGGAGAAACCTCGATCAACTGCCGTCTGGGGATTGAGCCCACAACCTGGGCATGTACCCTGACCAGGGCCTCTCAGTCCATGGGACGATGCTCAATCTACTGAGCCACACCGGTCGGGCCATAGAAATATCTTTAAATTGTTTTTAAAAAATACCAACAGACTCCCTCAGAGCTAGCCAGTTACATTACGTCGAGCAAGTTTTCCAGTAGTGATTGACTGGGAAGCAGTTGTTCAGGATTGCTTCTCGGCGTTGAGCTCTGGGGTCCCTGCCTTAGCAAGCAGGAGCGCACAGTGTGTGTTGCCGGTCTTCTGTTTGAGTGAGGATGCTTTTGATTTGGCCAATCATTCTGTAGTTTGAAGGGTCTAGAAGGGAAAAGAAGCTTTTGACATAAGGGTCTTTGATTCCCTTCTGAGTTTGATGGACAGTTAGCATTGTACAGTCTCGTCTAATGTTCTCCTTTTGTTACTTCTTAGGAGGCGCTCTGTCTCTTCCTTCCCGGTTCCCCAGGAAAATGCAGATACTCATCCTGGTTCTAGTAAAGAAGTGAGGGTCCCAACAACTGCAGTGTGTGTCTTTGTAAGTATGGTGCTCCCCAAACCTACGCCAAGCCTCATATGTAACAGTGTAACAATTAAAGGGTCCTTTCTCCTGCTGCAGCTGAGCTTTCTCTTGCTTAGCTTCAGAGGACAGAATTTATTACAGCCATCCTCCATCATACAGGACTGCTGAGAGAGGACTGGAAGCATGAGGGATAGGGCAAGGGAAAACCAATTAGGGATGTGAGAAATCAGTGATTCATGCAATTGTTGTCACCATCTGGCTCCAGTTTAGAGTGAGAATCTAGTCAGTGTTTCTGTACCGAAGGGTCAGTGTGGCAACTGTTGGCTTCATGGTTTATACCTATATCTTTATAGGAGCACATGCTTGGAAGCAGGAGACAGTTCCTGGCAGGAGCCACTGTGATATCAGGGCAGTCAGCTGGAGTTCAGAGCTGGGTCCTCACTGGAGAGGGCAGCATGGACCTGCTGGGGTGGGCGAGCGGACACTGAGCCAGCCTGGGGAAGTGGGGAGTGCCTGGCTTGGGCTCTCAGGCGAGGTGGGGCAAGGCGGGCAGGAAGAGCAGAGCCCAGGCGATGGGGCTGACTCTCGCACTGGGTGCAGTGAGTGAGGGGAGCCAGCTTGCAGGGGAGAAAAAGACTTGCTATAAAAATGGGATAGAATGTATATGGGGAGCTTTCTGTTCCAGTCAGCAGGAGGAACGTGAATAATTAGAATGTGCGTGCCGTGAACTGGCTGATGGCGAACTACTTGTATACTGTAAAGAGAGTCCCGCTGCACTCCTGTGACTCCCTGGCAGGCTGGCACCTCCCAGAGGTCGATGATGATTGGTAAAAGGTCTGATTGCACTTGATGCCACAGTCCCTTTCTTGCCCTCAGCTCCCAGCAGCCCATTTTTTCCTCCTGTCACATTTAAGTCGTGTGCATGGGACAAAGGGGCGGCTGATAATTGGGATTCTGTCAGGGTGTGCTTCTCAGAGTGGACAGTCACAGCTGACAACTATCCTACAGAACCAGCCATCAGGAGGTTGACGAGGGCAGCCATGGGTGTGGCAGTGCATGATCTCAAGTTTTCAATCTGAGACCTCGTCAGGAGAAAGATAAATGTTTTTTAAAAGGCAAGGGAATTGCAGGAGCTGAAATGTTTTGTCACCTGTCATGCAAGGGACGTAGGAGGGGTGGGAATCAGACCACCAAGCAAAGAAGTGGTGTAATGAAGTGCGGTTTGCATCCAGCCGTGCTCACAGTAATGTTTTAAGCGCCTTTTCCGGTCCCAAGCAAATGTGAAGATCAGGGTTTGTCTTCCCACAATGATTTTTTGGGCAAATGATTGATGACCTGTTTAATGATCTAATAATTGTAATCCATGTTTTCCATGGTCTTTTTTTCCCCTCCTATTAGGGAAATTTTCTAACATTGAAGTGAACAGTGGAAGTACTTCGGGTGCCGTCACCCTGGCTGGCAGCCTCCGTTGGCCACATTGGCCAGCCTTGCTCTCTCCCCTGCACGTTTCTGTTGGAGCAGGGTCCAGACGTTGTATTTCATCCATAAATATTTCAGTGTCCATGGTCTTTTATATTATTTTTAAATTTATTTTATGTTTCAGTTACAGTTGACATCCAGAAGTATATTAGTTTCATTCAGTGTCCATGGAGATTACAGTGACAACATCCAGCATTCTTGCTTCTCACACTAGGATGGGAGGCTTCTCACCTTGTTTCCCTTACCCTGAGCACAAATGCCGTATTGTTCTGTCGTGTTCAGTGTGGATGCCAGTCTGAGTCACTTCCCTGTGATGAGTTTCAGTTCTCCCAAAATAACACCTGTTAACTTTGTATTGAAGGTCTGGTGGTCAGACGCAGTGCTGGGTCACAGGCCCTGTGGTGGTCCTTTTTTATAGATGAGCAAGCGGAGGCTGCAGGACGTTGAAAAACTTGGCAGAGGTCACAGCACTCGTGCTCATTATTGTGCCCACTGTGTCACAGTGGCCCTGGCATCTGCTCGTGTCGGGACTCCAGATGAGCACATCTTTGTGTTAGGAAAGCCAGGAAAGCTTTCTGTATCGTGACAAGTCATGCTGCACACTAATTCCATACGTAGTGTGATAGGTATTCGTGCACCCTGGACCAAAAGTGAGGCAGGTAAAGTAATAGTCTTGCTTTACAGCTATAAAGATCCTACAAGAATATAGATTGAAATGTTTTATTCTTAGAAGAAATAAAAATAATGTGAAAACAAACTAAGTAGTTTACACAGATTTTAAATCCTTTCCAAGAAGTTTGCAGTATATTTAAGTAAATGGAGCTATTAACTATAAGAATAAAATGATAATAGAGTCTTAGGAAAACATGGTCTAGGACCCCAAGTTAGTTTATAATAGGATCCCCTCTCTTTATGTTCAACCTTTGTTGAAGCATCCAGAAGGCTCCCTTGCATTGGGATCTTTCTCCTTGAGAATGGCAGTGATTGGTCTGAAAATGTGCTTGTCTTGCAGGATGCTCATGATGGGGAGGTCAACGCTGTGCAGTTCAGTCCTGGCTCCCGGCTGCTGGCCACAGGAGGCATGGATCGGAGGGTGAAGCTTTGGGAAGTGTTCGGAGGTGAGATCTCGGAGTGTACAGAAGGAAGCTGTGCTGGTGATGTCTGGTCTACTTGTTTTCAGGCAATCTTTGAATTGTCAATCCCAGAACACATCATTTTGTGTAAGGAACCTGACCAGAGCATCAGTACTGCCTCAGTTACGCTCGGTAGCTGAGAATGTTTGCTCTGAGTTTCCAAGGTGTGACTAGAAGATGCTGTGACGTTACGAATATGTTTGCGTTTTTCACATATATACTAATCATAACGTCTTCCCAGACAGTACAGGTTTTAGAAGGAAAGTTAAAAATCAAACACTCATGGACTCTAGATTTACATCAAACTGGTTTATGCATTCAATATTCCAGTGCCCACAGTCTTGAAAAACACATTTAACAGCTTATCAGACAGGGGTCCTAAGGTCAAGGCTCAGTCTTTAATTAGACCTTGTTTCAGAAGTGCTCTTGGAGCGCTCAAAATGGGATGGCATTGAGACCGGAAACGGGAGTTACTGAAACCGTCTCTCAGAGTTCTGAAGCTGGGGCATAGCCCAGTTTCGACATTTTGAGATTCAGTCAAATATGCATATACTTCTAATAAAGGAGGGTCAAAGAGTAGGCGGAAGGTTTTTGTAGGAGCCACTTTGCCAAGTTTCCACAGTTACAGCACACGCGTGCTCACTGTCCAGCAGCTAGTTCCAGTGGGCCCAGTGTTTTCCCCTTTGGTTCCCACAGTAGCCCGTGCAGTTAGAAGGGGGATCACCGTGTTTGAAAACTCTGGCGGCACTGCCGGGTTTCCATGGTTGATTCACACGTGCAGAGGAGTGGTGGGGGCGAGGTGCAGACCTGGGTCCCCTGACTGCAAGGCCCTTGTTCTCTCCATGACAGCTTCCCCAAGCTGTGGAGCTGCTGGAGAACCTTCTGGCTCACTGCTCTGGTTAGAGAGCAGTCTGTCGACTGCGTTGGTTAGAACAGGTGGTCAGTGAAGCACCAAATGGTCTGCCCTGGCGTTCGACTTTCAGGAAAGTGACCTGGTAGTTAAACCCCTGTCAGTTACAGCTAATTGAAGCCCGTTAGAACTTGTGCTGTCTTAGCCTGAACACCTCATGAAGGATAATTGCTGAGATAATAATAAAACTATATCATAAGACTAGGAATTTTGTGAAGTTTGATTTTTAAAAATCTAAGCAGATAGTCTTATTTTGATTGTGCCTTGTGACTAAATAGAAATGACACCAGAAACACTTGTTTTACTTCTTGGTCAGTAAAAACACCTTTACGGAAATTAGAGAAACCAACCTTTGCCTTCTTGCTGTTGAAGAGGAAGTACACAACAGTCGAAAATTCATATTGACATAATATGTACCAGGGCATAATTTGTGTTAATAAGTTTCTACTAGGGCTATAGAAATAACAGAACATTTGGCCGCATTTTTTATAGTTTTCAGGGACAAATATCAGTCATGTCCTAAATCGTAAAAGGCCTTTATTCCACAGACAGCCTGTTCAGTCCACAGTTTGTTCCTCTTGGCTGCTAGTTACTGGACCTTGGCAGAGACCAAGTCCAAGAGAGCATTTATGAAATTGAGTTTACCCTTTTAAAATAGCAGAAGAATGGTACTTTCCACCTAGTAGGAACACCCATCCCTGCTCACTTGTCAAAAGCAGAAGCTCCGTTGGGAATTATTCTGTAAACGACATTACATTGACATGGCCTCCCCTGGTGCCCTCCAGGTAGAAGAGCTTTAACAAGATGTTTGGTCTTTTGAGATCAGTCTCTTGTGTGGAATAGCATTTGTTGATCATTTCTTGCATTTTAGCTGCAAACAAATAGAGGAATATTTTGGGCATAAGTCAGAGAAATCTTAGAATTTGCAGTAATAGTTTTATCTGTAAAGGTGTAATCTAAATAAAGACCTTAATTAGTGGATGTTGACCTTTTTTGACCCTTGACAATATAATGAAAGCTAGGATCTATCCCTAGCTGGTTTGGCTCAGTGGTTAGAGTGTCAGCCTCCATCTGAAGGGTCTCGGGTTCTATTCCAAGTCAAGGGCACATACCTCAGTTGCAGGTTTGATCCCCAGCCAATCAATGTGTCTCTCTCACATCAGTGTTTCTCTCCCTCCCTCCCTCCCTTCCGCTCTATCTAAAAAGAAAAAAAACTCTAGGATCTAGGAAGAGGCATTAAACGTGCTATATTTTGCAAATAAATTTAGAGGTGGAATTCGTTAGCTAGGTTAATCCAGCCCTAAATGTATTCGACAGCACCAAACCAGTATGCATTTTGAAAGTATGTTTTTATTGACTTTTTAAAGAGAGAGAAAGGGAGAGAGAGCAACATCGATGTGAGAGCGATACATCCATCAGTTGCCTCCTGCAAGCCCCCTACTGGGGATCGAACCCACAACCTGAGCATGTGCCCTGACTTGGAGTCGAACGGGACCTCTCAGTCCATGGGACAATGCTCAGTCCACTGAGCCACACCAGCTGGGCTGTATTTATATTATTATTTAGGAGTGCCGAGGAAGAGATAACATTGAAACGTTTCCTATCCTACACTCCTTTTATGAATTTGAAAGCTTGTGTCTGCATCATTGAAGTTCCTGTGTGTGGGGCCAGTGAGAGCAGGACCCAGGAGCGTGTGCTGGGTCTGTTGGTGAAAGAGGTTGGATAGAGGGAGGGAACACAGGCAGACAACCAGATTGCCAGGGTCTTGGGGTTCATGGTCATAGAGTAAGTGCAAGGACAGACTCCATGAATTCCCAGCTAGTGTAACTGGCATTCTAATGACTAGCCAGTTACATGTAACTAAAAACTCTTTTGAGACCTTCATGAGAATTATCACACCTGGATTCTGAAAGTTTGATGGTCTAGTTCTACAGAAGTGGTAGTTAATTTGGCACAGATACAGATCAAACCCAAAGATGCATTTATGTGAATTAGAACATTTTACTGAGAAATAACAACTAAATTAAACTCAGTCTCTAAGTTGATTCACATGACATTTACAGTAAATTCCTGTAAAAGAACAGCTTAACACACATGCAGAGTGCTAGGTCTGCGTGCACCTGTGCCTTCATTGCTCTTAGAAACACTGCAGTATATGCGGTCTCGTGTTCTGTCTGTCCTGCTGGTTGATTCTGTGATGGTGCAGGAAAGCTGCTGTTTGGACGGTGTAGTTTGCTTCCAATGTTTCGGGTGCCCCACTTTAATTTACATATTGGCTTTCCCTTACTGTCTGTCCTCAATCTTGCTCTTTATCCAGACAAGTGTGAGTTCAAGGGTTCCCTCTCCGGCAGTAACGCAGGAATTACGAGCATTGAATTTGATAGTGCTGTAAGTATCTGACACCCGGGGAAATAGGTGTGTTCATAGGTGTTTAGAACAGTTTAAGACATCTGTTTCTCAAAGTTTAAAAATAACTTACCTGGTTTTTCTGCTGTTTATTTTGAGTAAAGTCAATGTTAGAGAAGGATACAGGTAGACTACCAATACTATGCTGATCATGATCGAGTTGAAGGCTGGGCTGGGGAGGCAGGTGTCTCTGCAGACTTGGGCCAAGGCACTGTGGGTGGAGGAGTGTTGGATACCTAGACCTCAGACTGCGTTACTGGGGAGTTTGTACTGGGTGAGCTGAATTCCTCTGTTTTGGCTGAAGTTTGTCTCTCCCCCCGCCCTGTCTTATTCCAATAGGGATCTTACCTTCTAGCAGCGTCAAATGATTTTGCAAGCCGAATCTGGACGGTGGACGATTCTCGGTTACGGGTAAGACCTGGTTAGGAAAATTAGTTTATAATCTCCAAACTTCGTGGGGTTATCAAGGCACAATGTGTAGGTAATGGCAGGTCTGTTTATTTCGGAGAATTGTGTGTGTTTTCCTGAAAATAGTACTTGATTCCTCTGCCCTTTTCTGTCCTTGGGGAAATTTCTGTTTCTACTTTCCACTCTTACTTTGTCCAAGATTCAGTTTCAAAATAGCTGCAATGGGAAACCCTCACATTTTCATGAAAGACGGGACACTTCTGTGCATAAGAATGAGGTGCTTTCACAGATACCTTTTTAGCTTCACTTCGGCAATCCTAGTGCCAGCATGTGCATTGTTTCTCTCGGGCTCTAGGACTTAGTACTGGCCCCACAGAGCACAGCTGGAAAGTAGGACACAGGTGCACGGGTGGGTGCACATGACAGAGAAAACAGCTCTGAGACAGTAATGCCAGGGGTCCCGTGGCGGGGGGTTGGGGGTAATGGGATCATATGGAGGAAACCTGCATCTGAACCAGGCTGGATTCTTGTGGGTGCCGAGACAAAGACCAAAACTGAGGGTTATATCATCTTTATCTCTTGAAAAACATAATAGCTTGATTTGGAGACTGGTTTTTCTCCTTAAGCTTAAAGGAGTCTTTACATGAGCTCATTAAACAAGGGCTACTGAAAGATACTATGGGGGTGAACTTGACGCTGGTAGGCATTTTACCCAAAGATTTGACAGCAGCTCTTTGTGTCAACCCACACAGAAGATGGCATGATGTCACGGTGAACTTCTGAAGTGTGCGGGGAGCTGCTCTGGTGTGTCTGGGGGTCTGTTTTGATGCAGCTGAAGAATTATTGGAAACATGGGAGCAGGTCACGTAGGCTTTCCGTTTTCTCGAAGGGGCTGTGGAAATGCCAGCGCTAGACGCCAGCAGACATGGGACGGGTGGCCAGTCGTGACTCTCAGTTGAAAGAAGATCCAGGGCTACACATGCAGGGTCTGAGCCATGAGGATGACGGATGCTGTGCTCTTGTGAAAGCTGATGAGCTGCCTGTGTTCCTGGCTAGTGAAGGACCGCGGTGACCTGTGGCGCTGCAGGCCAGGCAGCCTGTCCTCGGGCCACAGGTCGTGTCCGTTCAGATGCTTGAGCAGGTTTCCAGCTGGAGCGTGCTGGCCGCACTGGAATCCGTCCTTGGTCTGCTGTACTCTGTGTGACCGCCTGTCGCTGGTGGACATTGCAGATGGAGTTGTGTGTGGCTGCAGTCGTTAATTTACCGGAAGGAACGGCTTTCCTTGAGCGGCTTCTTCGTGGTAGACCAGTGCTGAGGGCGGTTGCACATGCCCGCCGCTGTCCTCAGGAAAGCGTTGAGGTTGGTCCGTGGGGGGCTGAGGCTCTGATCTGCCGAGGGTCACATAATGAACTAAACAGGTGAGGATTGGAATTGAGGCCCGTGTTCTTTCCAGTGTTGGATTGGCCTGGCTTGTTTTAAACTGAGAAACAGCAAAATTTTAGTTAGTGAAGAGGGACCTGCAGCCCTCCTTGCATTTGAGGCCCTTGGAGGGAGGAGACAGGCAGCCGAGGAGTCGGCTTGCAGGGTGTGCTTTTAATTGGTCGAGTTCTGTACGGTGGGCGCCGCCTTTGGGTCTGACAGCCAGAAGGGGACCTGGAGGCCAGGTAGTTCTGGAAGACAGGTCATGCTGTTGGAAGCGTTTTCAAGTGATCTAGTTTGCAGAGGAGGGCTGAGTTTCACTAGAGAGGGTTCTGTTGGGGTCCTGGGGCACCAAGCTCCAGCTGGGGCACTGAGGAGCTGGGCTGGTGTCAGGGCCATTGTCTCCTTTGTTGGACCAGCTGGCTCTGTAGCCTCTGGTCTGCGCACAGCCACGTTCTGTCCCTCAGTAAGTGTGGGGAGAGATCAGGAGGCCTTCTTCACGCATCGCGCTCTTACCAGGGTCTGGAAGTAAGTGGGCTCCCTGTGTAGGGGCTGTGGCTTCCACTTAGACCGTGGTTAACAGAGTGCTGGGAGACAGGAATGGACATCCACGTCCTGAAACTTGGGTTTCGAGCCCTGGTCTATCTCCTTCACTTGTATGATAAGCAAATGGAGTTGGGGGAGGCCAGATGTAAGGAGCAGCTGGGTGAGTACTTGCTTTAAAACTGAGTAAAGGGACCCTAGAAACAGCCTGGTGTTGAAAGGGGCTCACGACAGGGCTCCTTCAGTACCAGGTGGTTAGACTCCCTCAAAGACCTGACGTCGGAGCACGCTGGCCCGGCTGCTGTCTGAGCTGTGACTTGAGGAAATGGGTTGAAGAACACCCTCTGATCGCTTCTCTGACCATGACGTGGAGAAGTGACCGCGGGCAAGACTGACTTTCAGGCAGTGGTTGTTACTTCAGAAACATCCTCATCAAGTTCTGCATTTTCTGGGGTCAGTTATCTTTGGCTGATGTTAACAGTAGCTGCCTACATGGTGGGCGCCCTGGAGTCTGCCCTGGACTCTGCCCTGGACCAGGGTGGGGCTGCACGGCGCGAGAGAAGAGCGCCGAGCCTCCCTCCCCACGCGGGCTCAGCTGCTGGGATAGCTGGACCCACTGCACGCCGTGGGCCTGTTGGAAAGGTGAAGACAACCTGAAAGTGGAGTTAGGAGTGTCTGTTAAATGGCAGGCACGAACTCTTGTGGGAGGCTCATTCATGCCATGAGAACATGGAGGTAGAGCCAGCCAGCCTAGGCAGGTCCCACTGGGTTTCCACCAAGAACAAGATTAGCAGAAGTCCAGCCTTTTTTTTTTTTTGATAAATTTTTTTCCCTTTATTGATTTTAGAGAGAGAGGAAGGGACAGGGGGAGAGAGATAGAAACATCAATGAAAGAGAACATCGATGGGCTGCCTTCTGCATGCCCCCCACTAGGGATTTGGCCCACAACCTGGGCGTGTGCCCTGACGGGGAATGGAAGAACCAGCGACCTCTTGGTGCATGTGTCAACGCTCAGCCACTAGCCACCCTGGCCGGGCAGAAGTCCAAACTGTTTAAAATGCAAGGTGCCTCGACCACTTTGGCTCAGCAAGTAGAGCGTCATCCTGCGTACCGAAGGGTCTTGGGTTTGATTCCCGGTCGAGGGCATGTGCCTGGGTTGCAGGCTTGATCTCGATCCCCCGTCCCAGTCGGGGTCGTATGGGAGTATGGGAGGCAACCAGTTGATATGTCTCTCTCACATTGATGTTTCTCTCTCTCTCTCTCTCTCTGCCTCCCTCCCACTCTAAAAATCAATGGAAAAATAGCCTCAGGTGAGGATTAACAAAAATATTAATTAGTTGAAACAAAAACAAGCTAACAATATATATGAAGGGCCAATAAATAAAAACAGCTTTTCCTTATTCCGTTAGTCCAGTAGTTCATTCCGGGAAATGTGGCAAGAGAAGCTGGTGCGCATAGCGCTCACGGCAGTCTGGTTAGGAAACCAGGCCAAGGGGGTGTCAGCTACACTGCCGCCTCAGCACACGAAGGGCAGTTAGAGTGTGGAAAGGTGAGTGCTGGCCCTTAGCCCACTCGTGAGTGATGCCGTTGCCTCCCTGTGTGAAGTGAGAAAGGACTGTTGTGAGGGAGAAAACAGACGGTGTGTGTACACGGAACTTGAACTTTTCCAATGAGATGGTTCTTTACCACAACTTCATTTCCATCGAATGAGAAGACCCTGCCCGGCCCTCCTGTCTCCTGTGACCCCTGCAGATCAGATGAGTGGACCAGGCGGACTCCCGCTCCTGTGCGGGGCTGAGTGCGCTTTGGTGCTGGGCTTTCTTGCCCTTACCAGAGGGCCCGTGGCAGTCTGCAGGCCGCTGCAGCCCAGCGCCACCCGGCCGGCACGCTCGGCGGAGCAGCCCAGGTGCAGAGCGGTTTCAGGGTGGAGGGTGTGGGTGAGGAGCCGTGCAGGCGTCTTACGTAGGACATGTGCGTGTGGCCTGTTTTCTGTTCCTGTGCTAACGCAGTGGCTCCCCTTGGCGTAGAAGAGTGGTTCTCCACCTTCCTGAGCCCGCAACCCTTCAATACAGCTCCTCGTGTTGTGACCCCCAACCATAAAATTATTTCTGTTGCTACTTCGTAACTGTGATTTTGGTACTGTTATGTCTTAGGTGACCCCTGTGAAAGGGTCATTCGACCCCAAAGGGGTCGCACCCACAGGTTGAGAACTGCTAGCATAGCAGAAAGACAGGATCCTGACCTTCCAACACTAAGAACATGACGTGGACTCTTGAGGTCTCACCTTTTTCTGTATTTTAATTAGAAAGAAAACATCAGTGACTTCCTTGAGCCTCTGAGGTTTTGCAAATATGAAAGAGGTCGATGATGACTAGTAAAAGGGCTGACTACCCAGGCCCCTCTCTGCAGCCCCTCCATCCCCGGCCGCCTCGCTCCCATCAGGCTCCAGTCGTGCTCTGCTGGGCAGAGGCAGCTGACACTCAGCGATGCCCCAGGTCCGTGCTCCTTGGCGAGCCCAGGAGGACACGTGGTTGGCATCCCACAGCCAGTCTCGAAGGGATGCGACTGCTGGGGGTGCGCTCTGGTTCTGATCCGACGTTCAAGCTGAGACCTCTGATTGAAAACCCCCGGGGCTTTTAATGTTTACTTAGAGGCCTGATGTTTTCTTCTGTGAATTCTGCACTTGGAACCTGTCTGTCTGCCTTGAAGCAGGAAGCTGACTTTCAGAGGCACTGGCTAAAACCCAGGCTGTCAGAATGTGGTTTGATATAATCCAGACTCAAAAAGGGGCAGGACTGGAAGGTGCCTGTAATGCGGCCTGGTTCAAAAGGTCCTCAGCTGCCTCCCTGTGTCTGAGCATGGGGGCGCGTGACCTTTGTCCTGGTGATGCTGGGTTTGTTTGTTTTGTATGTTATTTGTGGTGGGAGACTTATCCTCTATATACCTCGCCTCTGGGCAGCACCCACAGACAGGTCGGGTGTCTGGGCGTTTCCCCAGCTCCTTGTCCTTCTGTCTCCGGTGTCCTGACCAGCTGCCGGGTGTCTGGAGAAGCTGGTTCCCCGCAGGGTGCGCCCACCTGGCTCACCCTGCTGTCCTCTCTCCTAGCACACACTCACGGGACACAGCGGCAAAGTGCTGTCTGCCAAGTTCCTGCTGGACAACGCGCGGATTGTTTCTGGAAGTCATGACCGGACCCTCAAACTCTGGGACCTGCGCAGCAAAGTCTGTGAGGAAATTCATTCTGTCTATATGTGCCATTAGACCTTAACTGCGAGGTGTTTATTTCCACACCAGAGCCTGTGCTCTGTGTGATGCAGTCCGAATGCAAATCTGGCTTCACATTCAGAGGCACTGAGGCGGTGTGGTTTCTCATGCTTGAAGCTTCATGTAAATGGGTAGTCCCGATGGCTCAGGGTCAGAGGGCAGCGAGGTCATGTGGACAGCCACGGAGCCGCCTCTGCTTGATTACTGATGTCCAGCTTTCTTTCAGGCATAAAGACAGTGTTTGCAGGATCCAGCTGCAACGATATTGTCTGCACAGAGCAGTGCGTAATGAGTGGCCATTTCGACAAGAAAATCCGTTTCTGGGACATCCGGTATGACACCAAGAGCTCTCTCTGGGGGCACACATAAGTGGGTCTGTACATGGTGGAACTGTGATGATGTGCATATGGGTTGTGCTTTGTTGTGTGTTTTTTTTTAATGCTCACCTGAGGATATTTTTCCCTTTTATCTTCAGATAGAGTGGGAGGGAGGGAGGGAGAAAGAAACATCGATGTGAGAGAGACACATCGATTGGTTGCCTCCTGCACGACCCCGACCAGGGCAGGGGGTAAACCACAACCAAGGTACATGCCCTTGGCCAGAATCGAACCTGCGACTTTTGGTCGGTGGGCCGACACTCTCACCACTGAGCCAAACCAGCCAGGGCTATGGGTTGTGTTTTTTAAATCCCCACAAATGCAGAAATAAGTTCCAGTCCACATTGGTTTTAACAGTTTGATACTCTTGACCATGAAGTGGACGGTTGTGGTCAAGAAGCACGGGCATGCGCTGTGCCCCCACAGGTGCTTCGCTCCCTGCTCGGAGAGCGGGGTGGACAGCTGTGGGTGGGGGTGGGCAGTGGAATGGGTGGGACAGACGCACAGCTCGGCCTGAGTGCCGAGGCGGATGGAGCCAGCCCCTTCGTCCGGGCATGTTAGAGAGTTCTCGATTCACCCTGAGAGGTGAGCGGCTTCATGGTGCAGAAAAGCCCCGAGAGACACTCCGGACCAGGACAGCAGGGCAGCCGGGTCACTCAGGCAGGGCCAGGCGGGGCATGTGCAGTGAGACCGCACGGCGGGTTGGGACCGGACGGCCCCGGCTTTATACGCCACTTTGTAAGACTTGGTTTTAGAAGCCACTGTGTGTTCAGCAAACAATTACTTCCCAGGGGTCTAGTAGATCTCGTGGGTGGCAGCTCTGGAGGGAAATAGTAGACCTGACGAGGATCTGAACTCCACGCGGTAGAGGGAGGGTGTGGGGGGCGTGGGATTCAGGCAGGCCTTGGGGACAAGTTGGATGTGGAGGGAGAGAATTTAAACAAGACAGAATAAATGACAGATTTAGGAAGAGGGTGAAGAGAATGTGTTCAGGTAAGGACATTAGTTTGTGGTTTCTAATAGAGATTTCAAAGAACGAGCAGAATTTTTGAGAGCGGTTGGAAACCCTCAGGGGAGTACTTTGAAGGTGTAAGAACAGATGACTGCTCAGACGCAGGTAACGCAGGAGGACAGCATGTAGGGGCTGCTGCGGGGAGGGGCCAGGAAGGGCAGAAAGTGGAGAGTCCCGTGGACGGGCCCAGCAGGCCAAGGGAGCGGCGCGGCCAGATGGCAGGAGCCCTAGGGTGAGGTTGGTGACCGGGCTGCGTGGGCAGTGAGGAGCGTGGATATCGATGAAGCTTTGAACGGCCTGGAGGAATAGCTCGTGGCTCCTGGACACCATTTCATGTTTTATTCACGACCTTCAATTCGGGCTTTTAACCAGAAATGTGAAGTTTGAGAGTTAAAATAGATGTTTGACGCTTCCTGGTCTACCCCCTAACTTGGCAGATGAAGACCCCGAGTCCCAGGGAAGTGGCGTAGCTTGCCTCCGGCCACACGCTACAACACAGATAAACACTCTGACTCGGTCATGGCTTGTGGGGGATCATTTCCTTGACAGTTGACAGAATGGCTGCAGGAGGGCCTGCACCTCCTCCAGCTGTGTCGGCAACAGGGTCTGCCCAGGATTGCAGTTCACGGGCCTGGCTGTGGGCGGGGCCCAGGGCGGGGCGGGGATGCAAGGAAGAAGAGGGACGGGACTGCCCTGGAGTCCCAGTTTCACACCCTGCATCACCAAGGAGTCGGGGCCGAGCTGAGCTTGGCGTGGCAGGGGCCGTGTGGGAAACCATAGCTCTCTCCATGTTTGCTCAGGAGCCTGGTTGGCCAGTGCTGAGCGGAAGCTCTGGTTGGCGGTTACTGTAGCTTCCAAAGATGGGCAGGGAAACATTCTCACCAAATTCAGAGTTCGGTACTCAGAATGGTTACCATAGAACCTGTTGGCGGAGAGACCCTGGAAGTGGTCGCTGAGGGTGTTCTCAGAAGGCTGGGAGCACACGCGCTGCCCTGCGGGAGTTCTGCCTTGTGGTTGACTCCTTCCCCTCCCGCCATGGCACACCGTCCTGCCTCAGGTGGGGTCTGACATGTCTGGGTGCATTTTCTCAGACTCCCCTTTCTTTGGTAGGTCAGAGACCATCATCCGAGAAATGGAGCTGTTGGGGAAGATTACTGCCCTGGACTTAAACCCGGAAAGAACGGAACTTCTGAGCTGCTCCCGAGACGACCTGCTAAAAATTATCGATCTCCGGGTCAGCGCGGTCAGGCAGACGTTCAGGTAACGCGCTGTGCTGGTTTCGTCTCCTGTGAGGCTGCGTTCCTGAGGGTCGTGTGGAGTGGCCCCGTTCTCAGACCTGCTGTCTCGGGGTGACAAGGCTCTGTCGTTTGTTTCAGTGCACCTGGGTTCAAGTGCGGCTCTGACTGGACGAGAGTCGTGTTCAGGTCAGTGATGCGGCTCCTGCCCCCGGCCCCCGGCTTGGTTCATGGCCATGGTTAGGCCGTGGGCATTTTCCTGTCGGGAAAGTAGCCAGATTTTATAGTGTCTCTGTCACTGTCCCCTCCCTTCCTAGTATGCCTTTGTAATTGTTTGTACCAAACACAGTGATTGCTTATTGGTTAATTTTGGGCACAGCAGGCTCACCTATCTCTCTGCATTTTCCCAGAACTGTTTGAGAGCTTTTAGGGAAGGGTGGGAGAGTCCCCTGGGACAGAGCTGTGTGGGCGCTCTGGACAGGGGCGGTTCCCTTTCCGCTTCTCCACAGTAGCTGCTTCTCTTTCCCGCCTTCACTGAGCCGTGTAACCAGGCAGTCCGTCAGCCAGAACCAGGCGACTCTGCTGTTAGGGGGCTGACTCGACCTCCCTGTGTGCTGAGTTTGGGTCCGAGAGATAGTTAGGGACTTGTGGCCCCAGGAAGTAACAAGGTGGCACAATCCTTCATTGGGTGGGTGAGGCCAAGACAACGGTGAAGCAGCTTTGGATGTAACGGCACATTCTGATTTGTGGGTACGCAGGCCCGGGCCTGTGTTGAGTTGTGAATGAACAAGTTCCTCCTTTCGCGGAGGTCCGTGCGAGGGCGCTGAGTCGGGTGGGAGGCTGACACCACTTCTGTCTTTGTGCCCTCCAGCCCTGATGGCAGTTACGTGGCAGCGGGCTCGGCGGAGGGCTCTCTCTATGTCTGGAGTGTGCTTTCTGGCAAAGTGGAGAAGGTCCTTTCAAAGCATCACAGGTAAGATGGCCCCTCTGAGGGGGCCCTGTGACCTCACCCAGGGGTCATGCTGTCTTAAGGCGTGGAGCCGGGTCAGCCCCACGAAGGCAGTGTGCGCCCGCGTGCCCTGCTGTGGGCTCCTTCGGGAGGGAGTTGCCTTCCCCACACACAGCAGGCACAGTGCTCTGCTGGGAGGCTTCTGCCACCTTCTGGTCGTGCAGTCGATGGAGGCTGTTGGAGAAGAGGACAGAGAAACCTCTGTCTTCCCCAGGCTCCTTTTTCCTTAGCTTTTCTCCGTCCACCCGAGCGCAGCTGCTGGTTAGCACGCAGACCCGGGCTTCCTCCAGCACAGCGAGGAATTTCTGCCCAGCCAGCCGTCCTGTCCCCTCCCTTCATTCACTCAGCTGTTCCCTTAGGGCAACTCGGCAGGCCTGACTCCTGCATCCCAGACTGCTCCCTACAGTACAGGGCAGGGCTCCTCCCTGCGGCCCTCTGCTCTTCACCGAGCAGCCTGGGAGGAAAGCAGGCTGTGGAGAAGCTTGCCCCCGCATGCGAGGGGTCTGGTGTCAGTTCACTAAGATCTCACAGATGTCCCAACCTCTCCCTTTGATGAAGCTCCTCAATCAACGCGGTGGCGTGGTCCCCTTCCGGTTCCCACGTCGTCAGTGTGGACAAGGGAAGCAAAGCCGTGCTGTGGTCGGAATACTGACAGCGCCTCCTAGCGGGAGCAGGTCCGGAGCTGGAGAAGCACTCGGCCGCGGCTCGGTCCTGGCAGGTGGCCTGCTGGGGCAGCTTTGACCTCCAGAGAAGAGCGGAGCCAGCTGGCTTTCCTTCGAACAGGACTTGTGAGGATTGGGGCTGCAGTCTCTGGTGACCTGGAGGAAGGACACTGAAAAGCGCCTGCCACTGCGTCACCTGGCAGAGGCTGCCTCCGTTCTGTGGGAAACACTACTAGCTCTGACCTTGCCTACCTCAGCGGCGGGCAGCGCAGGCTCCGTGCACGGCGGCGCCCACCCACAGTGCCCGCGCGGGGCTCTCCCACCGTCCCTCTAGGCGGTCCTGGCCCGACGCGTGTCCTGTCGCCTTGGGGTCATTTCCCAGTGAACTAGCTTTAATCATTGGATTAACAGAAACCCAAACAGGATTACCCCTGTCCTCAGGGAGCCCGTGGGGACTGCCCTGGTTTCCAGGGAGACCTGGGGCTGCGGTCCTTCCTGCTGGTTCGTCTGTTATTCCCAAGCTCTTATTTCTGATCTCTGATTATGGTTGGAATTTCCTTAGGTTCTTGGAAAGCAACCGTTCTTCCAAGCTCCTGGTTCTACATATCTGTTCCTTAGTCAAGACATAACTCAAATTGGTTAAAAATATTTTTTTGAGAGGAAGTGCAAAAACCCTTTCTCCAGAGAAGTGCGTGAGCTGCAGGACTGGGTGTCCTCCTGGACCCATCTGTCCCTTCCCAGACCGTGGGTGCACCCCGCAGTCTTAGCGCCCAGCAGCTGGGGGCTCGGATGCATCCGGGGAGCTGGCACCTCCCGGTCTCTGCCCTGTGCCAAGCCCACGCAGTCCCTTCGGTGCGGGAGCACAGGAAGCCCGTCCGGAGGCGAGGAGTGACTGTCCCTCCGTCTCAGGAGCTGATGAAGGCCGAGGAAACTGGCCTGGGCATTTTTCTTTTCAAGCGTTTATCTTTCCCATTTTACCTGTGTATAAAATTTTGGTTCCTCAAGTGACTGAAACGCCAATATTTTTATCACTTTCTAATTTGCACTTTATTGGTTTCCTCCCTTACTCGCTCTCTGGACAGCTGTGGCGAGTCTGAAGCTGGGCGCGGGCGCGGCTCCCTCCCTCGTGCCTGCCCTCACCTGCCCTTTCGGTTTGCCGTCCAGAGAGCTGGGTTGAGGGGCTGAAATTCACAGGCCAGGGCACATCTTTATTTATTTAATTGTGTTGCCCAACAGAACTTGATTGTAAATAAACAAGAAATCTGTTATATACTTTTCAAACTCCATGTCTCTTGGTGGTTCTTTTATTCTTCTTTATCCTTAAGGGGGTAAAAGATCTCTTACTTATTTTCTTGGTATTGATTAATTTGTAAATAATAGTGATACTTTCCCTGGTATCTTTTCCCCTTGTTCATTTAAGTCCAAGTTCTTGCTGACTCTGAACATCAACATTCCAGTTTCCCATCATTTGCACAGGAAAGGGTGTCTTCAGAACTTGGGGAATTGGCCCTGGCCGGTTTGGCTCAGCGGTTGGAGCGTTGGCCTGCAGACCAGAGTCTCAGGTTCGATTCCAGTCAAGGGCACATAACTTGGTTGTGGTTTGATTCCCGGCAACCAATCGATGTGTCTCTCTCCCTCCCTCCCACTCTATCTGAAAATCAATGGAAAAGTATCGGGTGAGGATTAAAAATAAAAAGAACTTAGAGCGTGTGTTCCAGGAGCCCCGTGTATTGCCGTCACGTCTGTGGTCAGCTCCGCGGGTGGCGGGTACGAGCCCCTGGACCCCACAGCGGAGACTGTCCACAGGAGTGATCAGGAACTCTGCCGTCTCCTGGCCTCCAGGCCTCCACTTACCTGAAGGGGCTGGAATGACCTCACGGAGGAGTGACTTCTTCATGGCAGCTCGCACCTAGCAAGCAGCCTTTCGCGTTAACAAATCAGCATCTCCCCCAAATCCCCTGACAGTCCCATTACAACGCTGTTTCCTGAGCGGTTGGCCAAGCATCTGCTTAGCCCAGCAGCTCCAGTCGATTCCATGGGGATCGGAGGTCTCAGGCAGCCAGCGCTCCCTTCAGCTGAAGGAACCCTTTGCACGGCACCTTCAGGAAGGGACTCACTCCTAAGGAGCCCCGGAGCGGGCATGGCACTGGCCGTCGGTATCCTGTGTTCTTTGAACTTGGAGGGGAGCACTCCTGCTCCTTCTACTTTTAAAAAAGATGTTTCCACTTGGCTGACCAGTGTGGCTCAGTGAATTGAGGGTTGTCCTGTGGACCGAGAGGTCCTCAGTTTGATCTGGTCAGGGGGCAGATCGATGTTTCTTACATTGCTGTTTCTATCTCTCCCTCTCCCTTCCTCTCAATAATACACATATTTTTAAAAAGTTGTTTCCGGCCCTGGCCGGTTTGGCTCAGCAGTTAGAGTATCGACCTGCGGTCCAGAAAGACCCAGGTTCGGTTCCCACTAAGGGCACGTACGTCGGTTGCAGTTTGTCCCCGGTCCTGGTTGGGTTGTGTGGGTGGCAGCCACTTGATGTGTCCCTTTCACGCTGATATTTTTCTCTCTCTTCCCCTCTCTCCCTCCCACTCTGTCTGAACAAAAAATAGAAAAATGTCCTCAGGTGAGAAAAAAAATAAAAAGTTGTTTTCGTTTGAGGTTCATCCACACTGTAAAGCTTTTCAGGCCACCTGACTGCTAAGGTCGAGCTGATGCTGTGGACCACCCAAGTGGAGTATCTCCGTCCAACTCGTGGTCTCCACCCCCTGCCTGTGACCTGAGGCCATCGGGGACCTCGTGCTGCTGGTTCCCTTGGCCAGCGTGGGGGTGGGGAGGCAGGAAGAGGGGTTACTTACATTTCCCAGATGACTGCTGGGTGGTTAGAACTAGTGTGCCCCTTACTGGTGTTGTCTCAGAAGTTCAGAATTTAAAAACATCTTTTTAATGAACTTTACTTCCTGGGAGATGTATATGTAGTGTAATAAATCGCGTTTGGTGCCTTAATCCGGCACACACTGCACACACTGGCCGTTCCCCTGTGAGCCTTCTTTTTTTTATTTTTTTTTTATTTTTTTTAAATTTATTTTGTTGTTGTTGTTTTTTTATCCTCACCAGAGGACATTTTTCCTTTTTTTGTTGTTGTTGTTCAGGTAGAGTGGGAGGGAGAGAGAGGAACACAGAGAGAGAGAGAGAAACATCGACGTGAAGGGACACATCGAGTGGCTGCCACCCGCACAACCGACCAGGGCCAGGGATAAACTGCAACCGAGGTACCCGCCCTTAGCGGGAACCAAACCCGGGTCTCTCAGGACCGCAGGCCGACGCTCTAACCGCTGAGCCAAACCGGCCAGGGCCCCCTGTGAGCCTTCTAAAGCCCCTGTGCTCTGGGGAAGTGGAGGGGCCAGCCCGAGCCCCACGTGGGCGGGGCGGGAAGTTCCAGATCGCGGCGTGTGCCCGGGTGTGCAGACCTACCTGTGTCGGCACGGCTGTGACCTTGGGGAACTGGACGTTTGAAGTGTAGACCTGAAGGCATGGCCTGTGTGGGCAGCAGGAGAGGAGTGGCCGTGATGAGCGCCTCCTGCAGGAGCCAGGCACATCTGTGTCTGTAAGATCCCTGGCTGGAAGGAGTCTGTGGCTCAGATTCTGAGATGTGAATCGTGTCCCGGTCTATGACCAGGGGCCAGTTTCACAGCTAAGCAGGAAGCCATCCTAGATCCTGGGCCCTCTAGGTGGTGGGTGGGCCTGCCCCTCCAGGCCCACAGACATGATGCCAAGGTGCCAGGGTGGTTGTGGGTGAGGGGCAGTTGGCCCTGTAAATGCCTGTACCCCATCACGTCTGTTCTGTGTGTCCTATAAGACCCAGTCACATGAGGAACCCCAAATGTTCAAGCCATTAAGCTTCAGAAATCTAGAGTGAAGTGAAATACGTATTTGCGTAGATTCTGTGAAAACACAGGCCCCTGGTACGAGCCAGTAAGAGATCAGACTCTGCTCCAGTAAGACCTTCCTACCCGCCTCGCCTCAGCAACGTTGCCCCTCTGACCCGAGCCCTGGCTTTTCCAGCATGGTCCTCCTGGCCCCCCCTGTGCCCCTGTGCCCTGCCGTCGTCACTCCAGATGCGTCCTGGGCTCCTGTGCCCCTGAGCCCTGCCGTCGTCACTCCAGATGCGTCCCGGGCTCCTCAAACACCCCGCTGTCCTTAGTGAATTCACCAGGGCCACGCTGCCTCATACTCGTCTGACCTGGCTCCTGGCCAGCACAGTGGGGACGTCCCCTTCTGGGTGAGTCAGGAACCTAAGGAGGCAGGAAACAGGCAACGAGCCCAGCGCCCCTACCTGCCATTCCACAGTTTTGCCAGAGTGTATTACCGCAAGCTTCAGGCATGTCGTTGTCCCCACATACCAGCATGCACCCGAACGGATAAGGACACCATGCCATAATCCCACCTGGTAGAATTAACAGTAACAGCGCCTATCGCTATCCAGTTCCAATCGAATTTTCCTGATTGTTTCGGCGACCTCTTTTTTATGACTGGCTGGTTCGAATTGGGATCCAGTTAGCTTGTGCTGCATAACAAGCTCCCTTAAAATGTGATGGCTTCAAACAACTATCCTTGTGAGTGTGAGGGCGCTGGGCTGGCCGGGTCCCGGCTGAGTGGTCGACGGTGGCTGCTGTCCGTGTCTGGACGTCCGTGTGCAGACAGCTGGGGAACAAGGATGACGCCGCCCGAAAGCCAGCTTCGCCGCGCACGCGCTCGTCCCTCTGCTTGGGGGACTTTCCCGCCCCACTGGCTGGAGCAGACCGCAGGCAGCCCTGCCTCCGAGTGGGCGCTGCCCAGCAGCGTCGGGCAGGGACAGGAATCCCTGCAGCTGGCTGGCAGTTTTCCACGCTAAGGCCGACAATCGGTTCTCCTGCCCCTGAGTCTCTCTTGTTCTAGAACAGTGTCTCCTGCAGGTCTTTTTTCACGTCCCACAGTAGATGTCCTCACAGAGGTAAATACGTTTGTGGCCCATGTGGGAACAGCAGCCCCACATAGTGCTGTGTGGACCTGATCCGACCCCAGGGCCTGCAGCAGAGAGCGGGGGAATTCAGGCCTCGTGTTGTTGTAGAGAAGTGGATTTTAGAGACAACAGATAGGCATGCTTGTGACCAGGCGGGTTAGGTTAGGGTGTAAATAGTGGTTTCTAGTTAGGAAGTGATAGACCTGTGGTTCCCTGCAGTGCACGCCCAGGTGGTTCCCTGCCGTGCACACCCAGGGGGTTCCCTACAGTGCACGCCCAGGGGGTTCCCTGCAGTGCACGCCCAGGGGGTTCCCTGCAGTGCACGCCCAGGTGGTTCTACAAGGTTGTCAGGAGTCTCGGGAACAATGGTGCGTGTGGCACAGAGTGGATGCTCCAAGTTTTTATTTAGTAGAATTGAATCAGCAAAAAATGAACAGCCCTGAGATAGTGGGTCATAACCAGCTGAAAGCAAGAGAGAAAAACAGTAGTTCAAACCTGTATGAATAAGCCACATAGTAAGGGTAGCTGTTGTTTTGTAGACATTTTATTCTGTACATATATGTGTATGTTCTGGGTCACACTACAAAATACGTTTGTTTGTTTTTAAGTTTATTGAATTGAAAATCACAACAAAAGTAAGCAAATTATTTTTTAATTTTTTTCTTTATTGATTTTTAGAGAGAGAGGAAGGGAGAGGGAGAGAGAGATAGAAACATTGATGAGCGAGAACATTGATTGGCCGCCTCCTGCACGCCCCTCCCTGGGGACCTGGCCCACAACCTGAGCATGTGCCCTGACTAGGAATCGAACCAGCAACCTCTTGGTGCGTGGGTCGACGCTCAACCACTGAGCCACACCAACCGGGCAAAAGTAAGCATTTTAAAGGGAAGAATTCGGTGGCATTTTGTGCATTCACAGTGTTGTACAACCACCATCTCCACTTAGTGCCAACAAGGAGTATTTCTTAAACTGGATTCATGTTCATTTATTTTCAAACTATTTTTTATCTATAGCAGTTCATCGATCTGAAGAAAAGCACAGGCCCTTCCCTCAGCTCAGGCTGCCGTAATGAAATATCACCGACTGAGTTGTTATAACAACAGAAATTTTGTTTCTCACATTTCTGGAAGCTGGAAGGGAGTCTGAGATCAAGGGGCCGGCAATGCAGGTTTCATTCTGAGGCCTCGTGGCTTGTAGGTGACCGCCATCGCGTCGTGTGTTCA